GAACGACCGCCTCATCAATCATCGAGCAACACGGACCGCCGGCCGGGAATCCCAATCCAAATTCCTTTGTTTCCGACCCGGCTTGTTGACATTTCAGGTTGAGTTGTCAGCTCCCGAAATGCTGATCCCAACAATCCGAAAAACACTCGGAATGCTCAATACACGATACACCCCAACCAATTTTCGATACTTTTTTGCCGGCCTTTGTTTGCGTCCTTTGGCCTGCCCCAGCTCCTTTGTTTGGCTTTCAAATGAAAATCAAAAAATCATTAATTAAATCGTAAGTCACCCTCCTGGCCATCGTGTTTTTTATTCCTTTTTTCCCTTTTTGGAGGGACAACCGTTGGCGGTTGATGTTGACATTTATAATACATCATCTTTGATCGAGCTCATAAATAATTGGGCAATCAAGGCTGTGTGGCAGAAGGCTGGGCATGGAGATGTTGCTGTCAATCAGCAATGAAATATTCATTTCTTTACGATATTATTATTTGATTTGACGTCTTGAGTGCTTTATTAGTTAAAATTTGCCGATAATGGTGTTTCGGAACACATAGTTTTGTCAGGTTTCTTAATGTTTATTTTTAAGGGGCTCTGTAAATAATGTATAAAGCATTACCGGAACTATCATTGTCCTTTTGAAAACTTTCCCTTTATCTAAAACTATAGATATTTCGAATGTAAAAGGAATGTAAAAATCGTTTGCAATATATATTTTCGAAACTATTAAAAGCTTTAATATGCCTATTTAACTAACAGAAAAGAATTTTATATTTAAGGAGTAATTATTCAAAAGCAAAGCTATTTTCGGTGCTAACATATCGCGTTGAAATTCTAAGACACTGATTGCAAATCAAAATTGAAAAGGGTTCAAACGTGAATTTAAATATTCAGCGACATCTGTTGAGCTGACATCGCAGCGCATCGTCGAAGGACATAGTTTACACATTCATTGTGATCTCATTGTAAGGAAATTGTTCCGGGAAAACCTTGATCCCAATCGGCTTTTCCCCGGCTCCAGTGCCAGTTGACATCTCTGCCGCATTCCCGCTCCACTTGGCACCGCAACCGAGGGATTGAGGGATCTGCGGAGGGCCGAGATGGCAGCAATCCGCGGCTTAAAAGGGAATCGCTGCCGGACTGAAATGGCCCAGGCAAATTGCAAAACTTTTTCCGCCAGCTTTGAATGCCATTAAGTGTCGCAGCCGCAGAGCAACAGCCATGCACCCACACATGCCACACTGCCGCGCAACCACCCTGGGCCACCCTAGACCACCCTAGACCACCCTGAGCCACCCCCAAGTAAAAAGTGTTGCGACACTGACACAATGGCAAAGTCAGGCACACATTGCAAAAGACAACCGTGTGGTTTATGCCTCGCAAGAAAGAAGCCGCAGCTTGACTGCAAGGATTATGACCATCCGCGGAGGACCTCGGCACATGTCCAGTAGAGTGGTCCACAGTGAACACAATATATAAAGAACAGTATACTTTCTATCCAGATTTAGATACGATTTTTCACACATTTTCTGTGGTGGGAAGGTTTAAATCTCTCTGATCAGGTGCAATAATATTAATAATACATATTATCTTCTGAAGATCAAAGCAAAATTTTTACGTTTCTTAAAATTATTTTTGCAAAAATGATTCAAACATAAAAATTTCCAGGTGAAAATTCTACATATGCACAAAATAAGCCAGTGCTTCCAGTGCTGCGTAGGCAGTCCTAAATAAAATTTATTTAGATTATTAATTTTTGTTATCAGCTTTAAATGTGTACATACAGGCCAATAAATATGTAAGCTAGAGTCTGCCTACGAAAACATTGACCTGGATATCGTGGAGTCCGAATAGATAATTTACTTGTCGTCCCTAAAAGTTTTAACGTTGTCGTTTTTAATCATAATAAATATTAAGCCTGCAGATTGCATTACAAAAAATGTTCTTCCTGTCGTATGCGTAATATTTGGCAAAAGCCTTCGAGCCTTTTTGCCTTCACAAAAAGTTGTAATTTGTTTTTTCTTTACTGGAGACAAAATGTAAACATTTTTGGGTAAATTAAGTTAGAGTTTTGGCCAATTTTAGTTTAGAGAGATGAGTCCAACCTAAAGTCCGATTATAAACGTTGAGCCTGGTCCTGGGCCACCATTTTTCGAACTACCAAAAGAGCCATGTGCAGAGCGTAACGAGATAGCCGTTAGGACCACGCCCCCATCAATTTGGAGCCGCCCACCATCTGCAGATTTTGTTTTTTTGTTTCAGTCACGGCAACTGTTGACACTACAAAGTGGCAAACGTTGTTGTTGCTTTAGCCGTTGCTGTTGTTATTGTTCTTGTTGATGATGTCCTTGTTGCAGTCGTAAAAAAGTGATCCGTGTGTGTGTGTGTGTGAGTTTGTAACACATAAATATGCATTTCCCATTCCCCATTTGCCATTTGCCAACGGTAGCAGCCATCGAGCCATTGCATGCGAATATTTTTATACATATTCATTGGCTTGGCCATGTCCATGTCAATGTGGGTTAGTGTGCTTTTTTCACCCCGATTTTCCCCCTGTTTCACCGCCAGCATCGGGGCTCCTCGGATTTTCCGCTCCTGTCTGGCACCTGCGACATGCAACTCTGGCCAGGACTGGCGTGCCTGCCACATTTGCATAGCCAACTCTGGGGTGCCTCCTCCCGCCATTACCATTCCCAAGCCCCCCTTCACATAATGTCAATAAAAAGTAACAGCAACTGATTTCCACTTGCGCCCTTTTCCTTAAGCCAGGTGTGTGGGCCAGGTGAACTGAATCTGTGGCGGATTATTTCAGGATTTTAAACCTGTTTTGTTCAGAAGTATTTAGTAGTTAAGAATTTGGAATTAAGTATTCTAGAATCTTGAATTTAAGAATATAAAATTTAACAATTTTTACAATTTAGATTTTTAGAGTATGAATTTTAAAACTGTGATTACAAAATGTTAATATTGTAAGTTGTAAAATTCGAAATTGTAAATATTCTCAAATTACAAATTGTTTAAATACAAATTCTTGAATTCTAAATTTTCTTTAAAAAAAATTCTTTTAAGAATTTGAAAACTTATAATTTTATAATTAAATATTTTACAATTTTAAAATTTCTACTTTTTTTAAATTTACAAAATTAAATAAATTAACTGACACCAAAATTAATCAAACTATTTTTGTTAAGTTGGATGTGGTTATTTTAGGGCTTTGTTATAGAGATCAAATTAATGTTTTAGATTTGTTTAGTTCAAAAATTATTATCTTTATTTTAAGGCTGAACAAACTCTTATCGCTTATGCGTAAAACTTTACTCACCAAAAGTAATTTACTTTTTCAGTGTTAATAGCATAAACATATGTATCTTAGGTTTACGTTTTCATACTTCAAAACGAAAGATCACCGACGTCACCTTAAATAAATATTCATTTCTTAAAAATATTACAATTTTAAGGGAGTTCCTGGTACTTTATTTTTGGGGAAACTACAAGAAGAGCGCATCGCCATCACCACTAATAAAATCACCTGAAAGTAATATTATTGTAGGCGAATAAAAAGACAACACAAAACAAGCCAAATGGCAAATGGCAAACAGCAAATAAATAGTAAAACAACCAGTCAGACTTAATGGGTTGGCAGGGGAATCCCCTGCAGGTCGATGCCAGCTATCCGTACGATGCCATGTCCGTGTCTATGTCCATGTCTATATCCGTGTCCGTATTTTTGTCCGTATGTCCGTGTGTGTGCGTGTCCATGTCCCTGCCATGCGATGCCATGCGATGCCAGCGCGTGGTTTACACATGTTACCTGCTTACCTGAGGACTCGAATTTGAACTCGTACTCGCAGTGCCCCTGCAACTCGTACAAACACAGCAGTAACAACCGTCATTAGTCGACCCGTCGACCGAAAGTGATGGGGGTTATCTGGGCATATAACTAGGTACTTGTTTTCAGGAGCTTTTATCATGTCCATGAATATCTGTTGGCTTAAATAGGATAGATTTTAGAAATCGTGATTTCCATTTGTTAATTATGTTTTAAATAGTAATGGGACTCGGCTATGAAAAATGTTTAAGGAAAATGTTTAGCAGAGTCGAAATACGATCAAAAAATATTGTTACCTTAAAAATTGTAACGATAAAAAACCAAAACGTTACACTTATGTAAATACTATCAACCCTACTCTATGTATAAATTATTTAAAAGTGCATTTATCTTCTCCATAAATGGACATTATACATAGTATTGGCATTATGGGTAACCAATGTGGATAAAGCAAATTGTACTTCTTTCACCTCTGACAACTGACTAGACAAATTTCAACATTGTAAGTGGGTTGAGTGCAGTCGATAAAACGAATTTGATTATGAATGACAACATTTGAAATGTTCCAATTACGCTCTAATATTTTGATAAAACTCCACGCCAAAAGTTCAATAGACTGACTGACTGACTGACTGACTGACTAACTGACAGCGACAAATTTGTTGTTGACCATTTTCTGAGAAAATGGGCAAAATGGAAGAGGTAAAAGAGAAATGCATAGTGTCCTTAAAATAAATGGGTCCTTATATTGCAAAACTTTGACTGCGGCAAATGTAAATACTATAAATTGGTGAAAAGTTGTGTTATCATACCCACAATTTGTATAAAATAGTGTTGTGCTCAAATTTAATAAAAATGAAAACAAATAAAAGTCTCAAATACCTGGTATTTTTTTTTTTTGTGCTAAAAAATTAATTAATACAATTAAAGGTTTTAGTATTGGCAAGGGGCCAATGTCATGAAATATTTGCTTTAATTTACTTTTTTTTAATAAGTCTAGAAATTACTTATCACGTAAATAGCTTTAATATAATATATTGGTAAGAGGTGTTAATGGTCATAGTGGATAGTATTAAGCAGTGTCATTAAATACTTCAAACTATTTTCTATTTTATAAATTGAAATGATGTTTTCGTATACTAAAATAAAATGGTTTTTTCTGCATTTTCAGCGGACAGCTCGTTTCTTTTGGCCAACGCACAAATCGTCGATTTCCCGATCGTCTACTGCAATGAGTCCTTCTGCAAGATCAGCGGCTACAACCGGGCCGAGGTCATGCAGAAGTCGTGCAGGTATGTGTACGTATTGCCGATTTATATTCACTTCAACTACTTTCGCTCTCTTCTCGCTGTTGTTGGTGTACTCTGCGTTCCAATTGATGCTTTTATTGTTAATCCCTAACGATTATTAATATTTATTGGTGTCCTTGATGTTGTGGCTTTGATTGCCGATTAAGAGGGCAAGCCATTTGATTTTTAACTATCGATGTGTTTGTCACAAGTTTTTTCTTTATGTTGTACGTATAAAATGGAATATTGTTAAAGCATATTCATTGTTAACTATTTATATTTTTCATCCTGACCCTTGGCATTGACTAGGTTTTTAACTTATATTTAATTTCTAAAGTGAAAACATTGTTAGCGCATACATTTTAAATGCTGTTAGTTTTTACATTTTTAGTTTAACAAGAGTCACGAAGTCTACAGAAGTTGTTTTTTGTGTTTAAGGTCATTATTACTATACTTCTTCCAGACTCTTAGTTTTACTTACTTAAATTACTAATCGCTATACAATTTAAAGGGGCCAATGGCATCACCTTAATTCTTCTCCCTCACCTTCACCAGCCTTCGTTGCACTTATCTTTAAATTCCCATAATCACTTTCACTTTCTTTAGTTTGACTTTTAACCGCGTTAAAGTTGCACGCTCATTTCTTAGGCAAATATTAGCTTAAGAGCAGAGCTTCTCAAACTGTAAGCTGCATAATCGCACAGGTGCGACAGGTGGCAATGCGAGGAGGGGGTTAGGCAGTCAGACAGGACAGAGACTCTGGAGATTTTCCTCTGGGATCCTTGATGGCTAAGAGGATTGCCCGAGATTGCAGGAGATTTTTTGCCTGTCTCGACTGGGTCTCTCCGACCATTAACAGGTTGTTCACGCACCTGACCTGAACAACGTACACCCACTCCACTCATACACCACCCACCTGTTTTCCACCATTTTCCTGTGCTTATCTGCTTAACGGCTTATCCGCAGCTGCTTACACCGGCCATTGAATGTGAAGTTCATTTATTGTTCCAGCTTTTTTCTCCGCTTGTAGTTTTTTCAATTAATTTGCGTGCTTTTTTTTGTTGTGCCGGCCATTAAAAAACCATTGTCGAACTTAATGCACTTTGCTGCTCAGCGAACTTAATGCAAATGGACAGGAGAGCTTTCCACCTTTTTCCATCTCGCGTAATGAAAGGAAAACGCCACAAAGTATGCAGCGCATTGCACGGAAATATGGTACAAATGGGATTCACATTTTTTTAATTTGTTTAAATTACTGTTTATTTAGCCCTGTGAATAATCTATATTCTTTAATTAATAAATTTGTGTGCAAGTTGCATAAGCCAGAAAAAAATAAAATAGAATAATAATAATAATAATGTTTGATGGACAATTTAATCTGCATTGTCAAAAAAAATAGAGAAACAAAAAACACAATCATTAAATAAACGGGCTGTAAGTAATATTACTGTTTATTTTGCTATAATTAGTATGGCCATGGTTAAATATTTTTGAAATGTAAATGCATTCACCAGACTTCAAAGTTCGAGTTATGTCAAGTATGCCTCTCTTAAATACATAATTAATATTCGGATCAGAATACTGGTGGTATAATTGCCCGAAAATGTTTAAGCAAATGAATCCCCTTGAGAAGTTGGTTTAATTCCTGTTCGCGGGAAAATTGTCTTTTTTACCGCTAACCAGTTTTTCTTTTGTGCCCACCGCTTGCTTGCGATTCCATTTTCCGTAACACTATTGCAAATTGCCTGCCGGTGTTCCTGACCAAACAAATTTTCTATGCAAACCTTTGGTGAGTTGACGTGGGAGAGTAAGAGAGATGGAAGAAGTGTGAGAGATATGGAAAGGAAAAGAAAGAGAGAGAGAGAGATATCACCTGCACAAGTGCTAACTGCATTTGTTTGCCTTTATTCGGCTAGGACTTTCGATGGTCGTGAACTGGGCCCCTCAACCTTTTTTTATAGCCACCTCCTTTCCTCTATTCCTGTCTCTTTTAGATCGATGTCGCTGTCCCTTTCTCTTCGTCTATCCCTTTCCCCCTCTTGCTTTCTCCCACCAGTCTCATAAATCAACAAGCGGAGACCCAGAGGCCAGTGTATCCAATGATTCTCCCGAGAATTGTTTGTAATTTGCAGGTTAAAAAAACAGCCCTAAAAAAAAATAGGCAGAGTATACCTGCAGCATCAGCGGCTGATTCCCCAGTGGAAAAAATTCAAGTTTTTTAATGCCAATCTGCCGTTTAGCTAGCAAATTTTCCCTTCCACCTTCGTTATTGCCTTCTCTCTCTCTGGGCTCATCCAACCCTCTCTTTCGGCCGCTCAATCATCCGTTTTGGTGTGACCCACTTCGGTGTTGTTCTTGTTTTTGTTGCTGTTCTTGCTTGTTTCTGTTTTTCTGGTCGCGTGTGAGCCTCAACAGAAAAAAGAAATGGAAACAAGAAGAGTGATGACCAAAGGCAACAAGAAAACGTTGACCAGCAAAAAAAGGAAAATAATTAAGAAGAAGAAGAAGAAGGAGAAGGAGAAGAAAAAAGGAAATGGAATGGGAAAGAAAGTGCAAAGCAGTCAAAGAGCCGTTTGATTTTCAATCGACTTTTGCTTAAATGTAATTTTTTTCGATTTTCGTATGGAAATTTATTCTTAAAAAATACCACCCCATCTTTAGTTTCCTATAACCACTTTAATTTTACATTTCAATACAATTTTTCTCCATTTTGACTCAATTTTAGCTTGAAAGTATAGGAAGTTGTCAGCAATACCTTTAAATAACGTATACGACGAGGTGACCAATCAAAATGTTCTTTACTACTTTGCTGATAAAAAATATAACTAAAGGTTCTTACTAAGTACCGTTTTCACCAATAGTTTAATTTTAAAAATCACATAACAACATTTTTTTTTTTGTTTATTGTATTTTTCAAGTACAATAAATGGGCAAAAAAGAAGAAATATGTTGATACTAAGTGAATAATAATTTATTATTAAAAAATCTCTGGTTGTTTATTTTGTAATTAATTAAACAAAAAAAAATCTAGAAATTTAAAAAGAGTGCCATTATTAAAAAGAATAGTTAAATTGGTGAAACATTATTTTAATAAATTGAAATGCTACAGAAATCTTAAATGGTATTAAATTTCTTGTCAACTATTTTACTCTGGAAACTTGGACTTTACCATTAAACACTTTGAACTAGTAAACCCCTTGTGGACATCTTTCTGGTATTTGTTAGATTGGATTGGGGATTTTCTTTGAGTGCTTTCTTTTGGAGCCGACCCCCTGGAAAATAATAGAATTTTAAGTGCTTGTCGAGAGCTTTTACTGTGCTCCAGCCATGAGCACATAAACACTTTGTGCATCCATATCTATGGCTACATGCCATATATCCCTGACCAAATCCCCTAACCGGGGAGCATAAGCATATCCAGGACCTGTTTTTTGTTTGCTTTGTAACCCAATTTCATTTTTTGTCCCTGTGTGTGGGTACAAAACACACACTCAAGCACACACACATACACACACATACACTCGAAGCGTGACGTCGCCGATTCGCTGGAGCATAGTTTGTTGAACTTTTGTTCGGGGGCCACGAGAATAAAGCAAAACAACAGAAATTAACTACTACTCCTCCTTCCCCTTCCCTTCCCTGCCCATCCTCCTGTATCCGCCTCCTTCTCACTTCACCCACTTTTCCTTCGGTTGCGTTCTCGTTTTCCCTTCGCTCGTGCTGCTGCTGACGTCATCGAGCTCGACCCAAGAGTATGCAACACTTTTGTATGGGACTGCAAGTGTGGTTCCCCTTTGTCCCGAATTCCAACTTTTTCGAGTGGAAAATAATATAAGCACGAAAAGTTTAGCCCCCTGTTAAGCCCAGAAAGTCGATCATGAATTATTTAGTTTTCATTGGGAAACGAAAGAAATATAATGAATTTAATAAAGGTATCCAATGTGATATACACATAAGGCTAAGCCCCAACGCTCACGTTCGTCATAGTTTTTCAACTATTCGTTGGGAAAAGGCCAGGCAAAGCCAGTAAATTTTCACGCATAACTTTTGCCGGCATGTTGGGAATATTAAATTACTGGCTACAGTTTTTGATTTCAGGCATCTGGGCCAAGCTAACTCTGCCAGAAAGAACATATAAAAATTCTATTAAAATCTTACTTTGGTAAGAGATATTTAAAGGTTAAACCAGCTTTCTGTTTTAAATATACTTATAATATAGAAAGACGTATTTACTAGGCTTTAAAATGGAATGCATTTATTATTACATACGTGACTTGGCTATCGACTTCATTAAAACTATACACATTTAATATTTAATGAAGTTTCTTGAACAATATTTGACAAGCGTATCTTACTATTAATTTAGTTTTGATAGTTTTATCGAACGCCTTGACCTAATATGAAAAAATAAAAAATTGACCTGAGCCCCAAGGAAATGTGGAAAGCATTCGGTTGAGCAGCGGTGCATTAAATTGATATTTGTTTAATACTTTTTGCTGTGTGTGCAGTGAAGCCTCGCCGTATTTTTACCCGGTGAGCCCCAGGTGCATCAATCTTGTTTTGTTCGGCATGTTTTCCTCGAATTGGAACGCTTTCTGTTTTCCCATTTTCCGCTGCATGTGTTTGCCTTGCTGTCCGTGGGTGTGTGTGTGTGTAAGTGTGTGTGAGTGTTTGTGTGTTTGTGGCATGCAACCGACCAAACTGAAGCTAACCAAGAATAATACCTCGTCTTCTCTGCACATCTCTTTTTTTTGTTTATTTCTGGTTACACATCCTCATCCACATCCGCATCCTTGGGAATCCTGCAGATGCGGCTTCATGTATGGCGAGCTGACAGACAAGGAGACCGTGGGTCGACTGGAGTACACGCTGGAGAACCAGCAGCAGGATCAGTTCGAGATTTTGCTCTACAAAAAGAACAGTGAGTATGCCCCCCAGTTTTCTAGTCTTTTAGCAAAAATTCGATTTCTGTGTGTGCTAAATTGCCTGTGCCCGGTTCGTCCTAATGGCCAGTAGTTGGAGCTCGATGCTGGACCCAAATCAAAGTCAACCGGCTTCGCATTAAGTCCTTAATGCCCCTTTTATGACTAGGCTTTCAAAAAAACCAACAGCAGCGGTAGCAATAAAAGTCGTATTTTTCAAAAAACACAAAAGTGTATACAGAACTTTGTTTTTCATCTTCTTCTTTTAATTTAATTTTTTTCTATTGTATATTTTTCCAGTAAAAGCAGAGAAGATACAAATACTAAAATAAATAGCCTTGTCTAAATCCATTTATTACCAAAATTTGACATTAATCTCACTGTTTTAAGTATTAAATTAAATTAAATTAATTAAAATAAATAATAATAGCTCTGTTAAGCTGAATGTTTATATATGGTCCGAAGTCAAACTGATATTTCTACCTCGCTCGTATGCTATTTGGCTTTATGCTCGAGTTGTGCCCAATGTAAATTGTTCATTTCGTGAAATTCTGACTCCAAACCGTTCATAATTCATTCCCCCACTCCGCTTCAGTCGCTTGAATTACGATTTTCGAGGGTGTGTGTGTGTGTGTGCATAAACCCCTTCCAATTTGGCGAACATAATTCTACCTTCTACCACCACCACCACCTGCCTCTCCCGTAATGCCAACAAATTGGGCCTGCGATGGCAGCCCGCCGGCACTTTTGAGTGAGGCCCATCAATCAAGCTGCCAGCCAGCCCAGACACCTGTAATGCCAGCCATCCAATCGCAGTCATCCAAATCCGAATCCATGCAACCATCCAACCCATAGGCAAACATCCAAACAGAAAAACAGCCAAATCAAGTGGAATCGAGTCGCCCAAAAGCTCCCCCAGCGAGTATTGCCAGATCTGCGGGTGTCGAGCTCATGAATTAACGCCTTCGAGTATCAATTTTCAGATTTGCAGTGTGGCTGCGCCCTCTCGCAGTTTGGCAAGGCACAAACCCAAGGTATTTGGAGGTTTTCAATTCGATTCGGGGTTGATTTTCCGCACGGCCCAGTCAATTTTCCATCTCGATTCATGTCTTGGTCTTGGCAGCATGCCCATGCTGCCACTTCCACATCCTGTTGCATGTTTGTGATCGGTCAGAGAGGTCGAGATACATTAAATAAGCATAACTCAATTGCAATATTGGAAAGTGCAACATCTGGCGCGCATTTCGATCGGTGGGGCAGAAGAATCGGAACCCGATTGAGATTGAAATGGCAATTGACCGGCAAAATATTTGCTTCGATTGGATTTGGGCCAAGGAGAAAGTGGCAGAAACAATAGCTGAGTCTGAGCACTGACAAGGGTCCCCTGGCAATTGGATATCGCTGGCCATCCTCACATATTCAGATGGCCAAAACCAATTAATCTCTCCATCGGCTACAATCAATCCCAGCATGGAAATATAAATAGAAATAGGAATAGCGACTGAAACATTAACCGCATACAAAACATTCAACAGGAAACGGAAGTTTCAAATTGTGCTTGCAATTAGTGAATAATTATGCCATCAACAGCAAATACACATTTATACACACTATACACTAGAACAGGATGTAAAGTGTTCTTGTTTCGTGGAGATCTAAGCACATTTACGAGCATTTCAATGTAGAAAAAATAATAGAGACCTAGACAAATAAAATGAGTTAACTATTTATAGTAAATCAAGTTTACAAATACATTTCATTATGCAGACAAAAAATTTGGGCCTTTAAAGCAATTGCGCAGAAAGCAGTTAATCAATTTATTTAAAAACTTAACTATTCCTTAATTTTATCACTAATTCGTTGCTGTCACAGGTGAACAAAGGTAAACCTACAAAATTGTTAACTCATAGAGTCAAAGTGGTAGCAAAAGCCTTCTTTCTTTTGAAAGTGTTAATTTATTCATGTCATTTAAGTATGTAAAAGGCAGTTATTGAATCAATAAGCCATTATCAATTTAATGTATGACTTAAATGCGTAAATTTGCGTTCGAAAACCCATCGATTGGGTCGACATTTCGGTGTACTCATTGAATTATGCACTCGGACAGACAAAGAGTAAACAGTTTCAGCTGTTGCACACATATGGAACGCACTGTATGCTGGCGATTTACATGCCAGCTTCCATTGTCTGGATGCAGCATTGAGCATTGAGCATTCAGGATCCAGCATCCATTATCCAGCGTTCCATAACAATAATTGCAATCCAATGAAATGTCTGCGGCTCTCTGTGTCTCTGTTTCTGTTTCTGTCTCTGTCTGTTGGCTGCTCGTGACCTGAATGCGAATGGAATTATCTATATGTATATATATAGATATAGTATATATATATATATAGAGAGAGTAAAGCATGAAGCGAGCTTGCCTTGCTCGTTGGCCCCTCATCGCCGTAATCAGGCCGCACTTACCTATAATTGTTATTAATCCCGACTCTCCACCCACCTCCCACCGCCCACAGAAACCCCACTATGGCTGCTGCTGCAGGTGGCCCCCATCCGGAACGAACGCGACCTGGTGGTGCTCTTCCTGCTGACCTTCCGGGACATCACGGCCCTCAAGCAGCCCATCGACAGCGAGGACACCAAGGGAGGTAAGTGACCGCACCGCATTCCCATACTACTCAGCTTCACAATGAACCACGGTTGCCGTTGCCTGCAAAAGTTTACAAAAAATTGTTATCCAGTAATTTAATGCTTTAAACACTTAACCTATCTATGTTGAGGGAATCTCGAGATCTGGTTTAGGAATTGGTCAAACAAAATGTTAGATAAATATGTCCCTAATGTGATCTATAAATCAAACATTAAAAAGAAAATAAAATATAAACTCGATACTAAAAGATTTCAAACTATTTGACATTATAAAGTACAAATTTGTTTTAGGAATGCGAGAAAAAACATTTCATGTTATAATTTAAAGGAAATTGGACACTGCTCTGATTATTGTAAATGAACAATTTCAAAATAATTCATAAAAACAATCGTAAATGTAAAATGTTTAGATAAATTTATATTTAAAAGATTCTTGATGGACTTTTTCTTCAATATATTTATTGCAATTTATTTAATTACGTACAAATATTTGTTATATATCAAACTTTTAGATGTAAGCAAAAACAAATCTTAGCTTTGTTGTTGAAAAAATAATCAAATATAAACGTAATACTTTTTAATTTATATTATGTATTGCACTTTAAAATCATTTCTAGCAGCCGTGGTCCAAATCCATTTTTTTGCACCTACGTTTTTGTCTCTTTCCACCTTACTACTCTACTTATCTGCTCTCTCTTTCCATGTCTACACAACACACACAAACACAAATGCACACACAATCACACCCGCCTGTAAATACACTTTAACAAATTAAAAACCAACAAAACGAACCAAAACAAAACAAAACAAACCCAATTCGATGCGCGAAAACACAACACAATACAATATATAATATGTTATGTACATAAATGCCACTCATACCTTTGACAATCTTTGTGTTTATCCTTTTTGCGATGTTAACTAACTTTTTCGATGCACTGTCTTCTCGGTGTTTGTGTGCGTGTCCCTCCTCGTAGCGGTTAATCTATTTTTGCCAGTTTTAGGTCTCTCGAAGTTCGCCAAGTTGGCCAGATCGGTGACGCGAAGTCGCCAGTTCAGCGCCCATCTGCCCACGCTGAAGGACCCCACGAAGCAGTCCAACCTGGCGCATGTGAGTCCCTCTTAAATGTTAATTAGTCCTAATCGAAAGACAATACCCTTCAAATAGATGATGTCGCTGAGCGCGGATATCATGCCACAGTACCGACAGGAAGCCCCCAAAACGCCGCCACACATACTCCTGCATTATTGTGCATTTAAAGCAATTTGGGACTGGGTGATATTGTGTTTAACATTTTATACAGCCATCATGGTGAGTGAAAAAATTAAACCGCTTTAGGACAATACAAAAAGAAACCTAAAACTTATATCCTTAAAACCTTTTTGGAATATTAAGATATTCATACAAATAAAAACATGCTCGCTTATTAATTATATTTTTTTTTTTAATTAAATTAAATGCTAATTTATTCTCAAGATCCATATTTTTATTATACCAAACTCCCAAGCTCGTAGAGAATATAAATTTCGAATCTTATGCTTCAGAAATGCAAAAACTTGCAAAGATCCTTTAATTAGAAAAATATTTAGTCATGCCTCCAGGATCCTATAAAGATTTTTACTATTATCATTTTATAGCTGAAATTTAAATATATTTTTTTAAGAACCTTCATTTAAATACATTTTCTACCTAAGCGTCTTCTGCAAGCGCATGCCAACTATTTAGTATTTTATAAGTAACCATGATAGGTTTCTATTAACTTTAGCTTCCCAACACTGCCATCCGCATCTGTACGCTAAATCGTTATTAATATTTATTTTCAATATTAAAGTAATATTTTTACATGGGTACTTACATTTATAAGCCCCTGATTTCCTTAACCACCAATCATTCCGCCCAGCAACGATTGTGAGATACTTTATGACTTGCAGAGGTCTGGTTGTTGGGGACACATATGGGTTGTGGAGTATGGTTTTGCTATGAATGGGCTTATCTGAGGGAGATTGCGATACCTTCTGCCGCCAACCACATCCACATTCAGCTTACCACAATGCCTTTTCATAAGCCGATGTCGTCTGTCTGCTCGAATTGTGTCTATTTCCGTCAACAAGATGTTAACATTTTCGCTTAAATAGCGCTCGGCATAAGTTCTCATCCGTACACGTGTGGATTTTGGGTCCTGAATGGTGTCCTCATTGGTGTCCTCTGTGGAGTCCTACTCCCCTATATCAAATATTTTGTATCCGAAAGAAAGTTGCAATTCCTTGTTAGGTTCTTGTTTCGGTTTTCATGTTGCACACACTTTTCGTTTACTTATTGTTTAATGACATTTTGCGGTATTAGTTGCTTATCCCTGTGGGTGTGTGTTTGTTTCTATATTTTGTTGCCCTGTTTGCTGTTGTTCGGGATTGTGGTTGTCGCAACTTTGAGATAAATGTATGGCCAGCGACAAATCAAAACTTTGTCTGTGACTGCACCAGTACAAATTGCACACAAAATAACAGAAAAGTTAAATGATATTTTAACCAGGTGCCCAAGGGCTTTGTAGATAGACAAGAGTAAAATTAAAGCTAACATCAAAGAAGAAATAAATCTTGTTATTTTTCAACAAAAATGGTTTCAGAATGGCTATAAAATTATCTCTTATCTACAAATTGACAGACTTCTTTCTAACATTAAACATTAAATATTATAAATGCTCAAGTTAATGTATGATTTAGGAAAGTATCACCCTACATTTCCCTGGTCTCATCACTTTCACTTAGTCAAGCCAAAGGTACGTGTGTACAGTAAGCGCCCGCTAAGGCGTCTAATTAGGCAAGTACCCTCGAATCGGTTCGGAAAGGGCTCGAGCTCAAGTGAAGAGTTCAGATACCGACCCTCTGTCAGACATTAATGTTGCTTTCCAGTCAGACAAAGGGCGGAGATGATGGGACATAGTCGAAAACAGACAAGTGCACACATTTACATGACCAAGTGGCTGCTCAGACAGCGAGTCCTTCCTCCTGCTTCTGCTCCTCCGGCTTATGTTTTATGTGCTTAAATTAATATGCTCAGTCGGCGGAGGAGGATGAGGTTGAGGATGAGGATGAGGATGGGGACAGATGAGACAGAGCTTGACAGGACATAAGCAGCGGCATTCGTGGCTTGTAATCCAGCCTCCGACCAGGCCACAACGAGCCACGTTAAGAGGTTTGTAACTGCCACTTGAGGCAACAGTTAAGACAACAGCAAATGGGGCAAACGAATGGCAGGGGTGGCAGTGGTAATCTCAACTGTTGCTCGGGTGACGGCAAACGGAAGACTCACCTGGAACATCTGACAGATCATTCGTTTTGCATTTCTCTTGGCACTTTTTATTTTGCTAATAGACAAAATCCTACATTCACATTAAAGCGAAATCTCACGAAATGTTTATGTTTAAGATCTGCTGTTTTTTAGTCGAGTGTGTTTGGTTTGGCCTCCCCTCTTCAAAACAACAGGTCGTATTAGTAATTTCAGTTCATTAATCATTCGCCCAATTGCCATCTATTTCTATGATTATCTGCTCAGTTTACTCATGCTTATCTCATTTTAATATTATCGCTGGCCTAACATATTAATATGAACTTTAAAAAAAATCATTTTGAACTGGCTAACGTGGCGTATGAGTTATATTGAATGGATTGGTTTGCAAATCAATCCAAAAACAATAATGTAATATGATAAAAATCAGTATTTTTAATGTTATTAAACATATATCTCATGCTACTTTTCAGGTGCCATACAATGTAGCGTTTAAAAATAAAACCTCAGAGGATGTTTCCCTGCTCGTGGTCGATTCCATAGTCGATGTTATATTCTTTATAGATATTGGTAAGTGAACTTATGATTCTAAGTACATTCTTATATTGATAAATAAACTTTGCAAAGTTTTAAACTTCCACACAACGTTCGTGGGTCCTGGCGGCGAGGTGGTCAGCGACCCTAAGGTGATCCGGATGAACTACCTGAAGTCGTGGTTCATCATCGACCTGCTCAGTTGCCTGCCGTACGACGTGTTCAACGCGTTCGATCGCGACGAAGATGGCATCGGTTCGCTGTTTAGTGCCCTCAAGGTCGTCCGCCTGCTGAGGCTGGGGAGGGTGGTGCGGAAACTGGACCGCTACCTGGAGTACGGGGCGGCCATGCTGATCCTGTTGCTTTGCTTCTACATGCTCGTGGCCCACTGGCTGGCCTGCATTTGGTACTCAATAGGGCGCAGCGATGCGGATAATGGGGTAAGTCAGGTAGAAGAGAAACACGGATTATACAGGCATCAGAAAATTGCCAAGGTCAGGGAGTTTGATTACTCCTCTGGACCACGTGGATATTGATAAATAAGCCGGGTACAAACATGTTATTTAAACATCTATCGTCACACCAAAGATTTCACAAATCGAAGCTAATAAAAATTTAAATTAAACACAATCAGTGACGCCACTGCAAGCAGTCGTAAATGCCTTCATGTATGTTTCTCACAACAGATGACGCTTTAAACTTGATGGTTTGCTGGCGCCAGCTTCCGGAAGCATATTAGTTGGTTAACAGATCAACGCAAATTCTGGCGTTCCTTTTGTCCTTATAAATAATTGATAAAATTAGGGAGGGAGTTTTCCTTTGATTTAATGTTGTATTTTGTTTAATATCGCGCAAGGTATCATAACGTAATATTATTTGTAAATTTCTTTAAAAACATACCCTTTACAGATCCAGTACAGCTGGCTATGGAAGCTGGCGAATGTCACCCAATCGCCGTACTCGTATATATGGAGTAATGACACCGGGCCGGAATTGGTTAATGGGCCGTCACGGAAAAGCATGTACGTGACGGCCCTGTACTTCACCATGACCTGCATGACCTCGGTGAGTTAGTGAGAGGGCAGCGTATGACCTTTGGTGTGATCTAATCCTTGGACTAAACAAACCCTTGATTGTTCTTTTTCTATTTCCCAATCTGATTGTTCTCTTTTGTACAGGTGGGCTTTGGCAATGTCGCCGCGGAGACAGACAACGAGAAGGTGTTCACCATCTGCATGATGATCATTGCAGGTGCTGTGTCCTTAACACGTTCCGTTGCCGCGTCCAAGTTTCTTGATATTCCCGCACACGTGTCACGCTTTTGAATTCCGGTTCCGATCTATCGAATTCGATTTCGATTCCGATACCATTTGAAAGCTAGGCCATCCGCTTGCGCCGCTAGAACTAATAAATCGCTCCAGTTTTTGGTGTAGAGCCTCATTTTGATTCGTAGCCCATGTCCATTTGTCCAAATGTCCTAGTAGAGCAACTCACTCGCATCCTCACATCGTCAATCATTGATTGATCGCAGTCAGAGTTAAGTCTCAAGTCTCTTTCTCCACCCTTCTTCTGCTACGTCGTCATCTAGTTGCACAATTCGTCGCCATATGTGAGTTGCATTGCGTATTCCTCTCTACTCGTTGTCCGTAACTCGTTACTTGTTATTCGTAAATCGGTAATCGTAACGCATGATCCGTAATAGTGACTCGTTTAACGAAACTTGTTGCTCATTATTAGAAACTCGTTGTTCATAACTCGTAAATAAAATTTCGTTTTTGGTAACTTCTTACTCGTCACTCTTTATCTGTAACTCGTTATGTGTAACGCGTACCTATTCTGCTGTACTGTACTTTATGCTGAACCAATTCAGACACGAGTGTCTCTCTTACACTGCGCACGATGAGCATTCCCCCGAAAACCCGGGAAAAATACAAAGGAAAAGCTGATCCTGCGCAGCATCTCGTTCACGTCACTCGCCATCTATCTCCCACATCTTCCCCATCCGAATAATCCATCATTGTATCTGTCTAACTGTGTGCTCGTCCAATCTGTGGCATTTATTACTGTTCTAGCCGCGCACCTGTGCGTCTCTTCTTCCACAGCGCGTAGAATCAGCAAATACCGATAACACACACCCTATAACTGTCTTTTTCACACGCATCACACGCACACCTCACGAACACACAGAGAAAAAATATCACCAAATTGTCTATGCAATTTAAATTGTTGATCTGTTGAGGTTTGGATTTGTGTAATGTACAGTTTGATTAAATTAAAAAGGGTTAACAAATTAAATTCTTAGATAAGGTTTTTTCTTCTCTGTGCTCTCTCACACATATCAAGTGTTATCTAGCTGATCGTGTAAAGATTGCTTTAAATGGAACCCCCAATCTACGAGCTCCAACTCTTTGTGCACTGCCGCCTCTTAATCTGTCCGTCTCATCACCTTCTCTCTCTCTCTCTCTCTATCCATAAACCCTGAAATATATAGCTCTGCTGTATGCCACGATCTTTGGCCACGTGACCACCATCATCCAGCAGATGACCTCGGCCACGGCCAAGTACCACGACATGCTGAACAACGTGCGTGAGTTCATGAAGCTGCACGAGGTGCCGAAGGCTCTGAGCGAGCGAGTGATGGACTATGTCGTCTCCACGTGGGCCATGACAAAGGGTCTGGACACCGAGAAGGTAAGTTCCCGACTCCCTTGCCCAATATATCCTGGGAGGCGAATTCGCCAAGAGCCTTTTTCGTTGCCAACCAGCTTCCAGCTTTCAGAATCATTGTTTCACCCGGTCGATAAGAATAGAAAAAAGAGATTAATTATTTAAGCTGGAATAAGGATCCATCAATCCATTTATGTGTCCCATTTATCAATGCTTTTGTGTATAAACTTCATGCGCGGGAACTGGGTTCCACTTGTACATTGCTGGCTTTCCTATAGAGCTTGGCTCACTTCAGCCTATCACTATCTCTAATGCACTCGGCATACGCACACGTACATGACTTACATTAAACTTACTACTCGCTACTTGTTACTCACTACTTACTACTCGTTACTGGATACTCAATATTTTATTTTTCTTCAATTCTTAAAGTACCACTGTCTTTGGTTTGTTTAGATCCAATTAAATTCTTTTTAGTGTCTTTTATTCCAAATTGTTACTTTCTCTACATGTCATTCGGTATCAACCAGTTTTACTTTAATGGTAATCTCCAGTCATTTTTTTGTTTATTATCTTTTGAACTTATACATCGTTTCTCCTCACTAGTCAATCAAATCACACAAGCTAGTTGTACAGCTTGGCACACACAATTAAACCACACAAACCTCTATCTTCAGACACTTCAGACACCTCAAACACCTGTACTATCTCTCTCTCCTTAACTCTTCGACAAAAGAAACTTTGGTCGCTGCTTTTGCGCTTTGTTTTCCTATTGTTTTGAAGCTTCTAATCGCATTCCTAGCCTAAGATCAAAACCAAAAACAAACCCTCGAAAAGCCAAATGCCCAACCCACCCACAGATCAAGGTCCAAGTGAAGGGTCCGAGGTAAGCTGTGGGTGGCTAAGGACCTGAAAACTCAAAACTGTAAACTACAAAAAAAAATGCGGATTCACCTTAAAAGCTATACACATCTAACGAAAACCATCTTTAACAGAACTCAGCTAATCGATGATCTATCTCTCCATTCTCTCCATGTGTCTGCCCGCGAGCGAGATCCGTGCCAATACGAAAAGCGTCCGTCAAATTCATGCCTTTAGATGAACCTGAACCAAACGGCGCAGCGTCCCCTAGAAACCCATTAATCCACACTCCTCATAAATTTTACCCAACTCAGGGGTCGTTTGCGCCTGAAATTTTTGTTGATATGATATATAAAGCCCAAGTTTGGTTCACAGACAGAAAAAGAGTTTAAAACCGGTCAAAGTCGAATAAACTGACCTTTATAACTATTTCGTTGACTGTAGTTTGTGCCGCAATTAGAGTAACCATATCCCTGACCCAGAAACTTAAGTAAAATGGGGTGTTACTTTCCCGAGTATCGGAAGTAGCACCCAACACAAACACTAAAAAACCCATACACCCACACAGAGACAGTCACACACACACACAATGGAAAACAGACGAGACACACACTCTGACACTCGATCAATGTTGTATGTGTATTAGTGTATGTGTGCGTGTGTGTACGTGTCCCGATAAAGCCACTAGAGCTGAATTATTTCGCCCAGAGGATCAGATAATCTGGGTGGAAAAACTCCGTGGTGGTCCGCAATTTTCCAGTTACGATAAGCCAAATCACCCCTATCCAAAAACCAACCCAAAACCAATCTCGATCGCAATCGCTTCGATTCGATTCGCCTCGAATCGAAGCCTATCGAACCGCCACTCGCAACTCGTTCACAATTCGCAGGTACTAAACTATTGTCCGAAAGATATGAAGGCTGACATATGTGTTCATCTAAATCGCAAAGTATTTAACGAGCATCCGGCATTTCGTCTGGCCTCGGATGGTTGTCTCCGGGCACTGGCGATGCACTTCATGATGTCGCACTCGGCGCCGGGCGATCTGCTCTATCACACCGGCGAGAGCATCGATAGCCTCTGTTTCATTGTCACCGGCAGCCTGGAGGTGATACAGGACGACGAGGTTGTGGCAATATTGGGTGAGTTACCCGGATTACCAAGGCGATTTATTCCTTTTTGCTCAGCTAAAGCCGCAGAACTATCCGTTTCGATTATCCCGATAACGTACTATCCCTACAATCAGTGATATCAAGTAAAATGTCAATTTTTAAATGCTCTTCGACATCCTTTTAAGTGCATTATTACTCTTCCTATTCCACCTAAGGTAAGGACGAAAAACGATTTCTTTTAAGGTAAAACGATAAATATTACATCGATTTTTCGATAGCCGATAGTAACAGTGGCACTAGCTTGTTCATAAGAAATAATTTACAAGTATATCTAAATGTACAACTAAGTTTTCATTCACACCTACCAATGAATACAAAAATGTATCTCAATAAATTAAATCCATTTTATAAAATCAAGTCGTAAAATTAATTAAATTTTTCGATAGCTAATTAACGTGATCATTACCAATTATGTTAAATACTTGTAATGTAACAAAAATATAAGGTATTTAAGACTCAAAATTAAGCAAAAAAAAAAAAAAATCTAGAATTGTTATTTGGACTTATGAAGGATCATTCAATAATGAATATAGAAAATCGATAACGGCATAAGTTCTGCGGTTCTCTATCGGGCCGCACTCCACACTGAGAAAGCGTTTCTTTGCAGGCAAGGGCGACGTCTTCGGCGATCAATTCTGGAAGGACTCGGCCGTTGGACAGAGCGCGGCCAATGTGCGCGCTCTGACCTATTGTGATTTGCATGCCATCAAACGTGATAAATTGCTCGAAGTCCTCGATTTCTATTCGGCATTTGCGAATAGCTTTGCACGCAATCTGGTGCTCACCTACAATCTCAGACATCGACTGATTTTTCGCAAGGTGGCCGATGTGAAGCGCGAAAAAGAATTGGCCGAACGGCGTAAGAACGAGCCGCAATTGCCCCAGAATCAGGACCATCTCGTCCGGAAGATCTTCTCCAAGTTCCGGCGCACACCGCAGGTTCAGGCGGGCAGTAAGGAGCTCGTCGGCGGATCCGGCCAAAGTGATGTCGAAAAGGGCGACGGCGAGGTGGAGCGGACTAAGGTGAGTTTTTGGGATTGCAATCTCCCCATATGTGGTGTCTTTCTCGCTCTCTCTCTGTCTCTGTCTCTCTGTCTCGTTGTTGCTGTGCATTCTGCTTTCCGTGTTATACTATGTTCCATTTCAATGTTTTGTTGTTGTTATTTATTGTAAAATTTTCATGTTTCGTTGTTGTGTTCATTGGGTAGTTCTATGTGCGTTTGATCTATATTCTTTTGGGCTTGTGCGATAGGAAGTGATGTTGAAATTATGACCAAATGTGACTTAAGGCATTTAAGTAAGTTAAATAAAGAACGGTTATGTCGGAGCTTTTATACCTACATATTTGAAAATTGATAAAATACTTAAAATGCCAGGACATGTACTCTTTATCAGAATCATCAAAGAAACAGTAAATGTTTCCTTTGAAACGTTTAAACATTGCTTAAAAAGAAAACCACATAAATAAAAATGTTTTTAAATCTTAGTAATATTTCTTCTTTCAAGAAAGAGTTAATAAACATTTCTCAAAGAGAACTTCATAATAGTTGTAAAAGAAATTTGTAAGCGTTTCACTTACCTTATCGCACAATCGTAAAAGGTATCTTTTATCATTTCTGTTGCTGTTAAAATTCTCTGTTCCTCTTCCGTTGGCTTAAACTCACAGCGGTTCGAGCCCGTTCCCTTGCCATTTGTTTACGCCGCATTGTTCACCGTTAACCGAACAACAACTAACGTTTCTTTCGAAGCCTCAGCCTCACAATCCACCACTCACAGCTCCAGCCAGAGTCAAAGCCCCCAGGCGAACTGAAACACCCGGGCACTGAAACACGAACGACGGTGGGGCAATTGTTTGCCGTTTACCGTTAGCCGTTAACCGTTAACCGTTTACCGTAGTTAATAACCGTTGTATTTGTATTGCTTAACTAATGTTATTTTCTATCAAAGCGATGAAAAACTGTATACAAAAGTGACTTATGCTCGTTGTATGTCTTTCTTTGTCTTTGTCTTTCTTTAACGTGCTTCTGCATAATGCATATAACTGTTCACAACTCACCACATACTCACTCACCACCCGTTACCATCACTAAACCCACCATCACTTAACCCCCCTTCACACAACTGAACTTTTCGCTTTGTACATACTTTCTTCTGGCTTTGTCTTGATCTTGGATTCTTTGATTTATGTTGTGAATTTGGCTAAACTACAATTGAAATGAACTCAACAAAATTACTAACGGAAAATTCTGAATTATTTCCCTCAAAAACCCCAATCGAAATTTCCCATTTCCTGCACCCATGTGCTGCTTCAACCAACCCCCAACCCCCCCACACACACACACACACTTTCTCTTCTTTTTCTCTCTCCCCCATTTCTTGATCGCAAACAAAACGCCTGATAATGCTTGCTCGATTAATGATAATGCGAACCCCCTGCTAAAATATCGACAACCAAAATGAAAACAACATATACAAGAAGCTACCAGCCAAACTGACACTTACCGAGGACGCTCGCATCATGAGCACCGCGGCGGCGCCCTCGCCATCGCCGTCACCATCACCCTCATCGGGTCCACCATCTGCGCGCAGTACACGGGCCAGCAAGTGGGGACGCCTCCTGGGCAGTTCAAGCGTCGATTCAGCTAGCGACACCAGCGCCAAGGTAGCCGTCTCGAGAAGTTTGAGCGCCCGCGAAAGCCTCCGTGAGAGCACCGCCCAAGCGCGGCAGAGTAGTACTTCGAGTAGCAATGGTGGACAAGGCAACAAAGTAATTACAAGTATACGCTTAAAAACAATCGGATTTGGGACCTGTGATCTGGATTCAAGAGATCTACGATCCAGGATCATTTTGACACTCAGCAAGACACTTCAAATACTCAGGGCCACAGGGACACACACGAAACAATCGATTCGAAAGAAAAGAAAAGAGGATTCCCCGAATCTAAGCAACTAACTTTTAATTCTGTTTCATTCGTTTTGATTTGGAACTGTCTTAATAGAATGATTCCACTGACACGCACTTTTGTTTCATCGGGGGTGCTAAAAAAAAACGCTCAGAAAACACCAAAAAACCAAAACGACTAAACAGATATCATACATTTTAAGACTACAGCTTGAGAAAAAATACCTAAGCATTGTGTTAAAGCTATGTTGGCCTTAAGTCCGTTTTTCAATACTTTTCCCCGATTTTAAGAAAGCTTAGTTGAGTTACTTGTTGGGTCATTATTTCTAAAATGTGGCTCAATTTGACACGTTTTAGGTCATTTTGGTCTTTTCTGAGTGTACTTACATGAAGTGGCTCTAAAAAATGCTAGAATCAGATGATGTTAAAGAAATGTATGTCAGTGGAATAAGCTAAACATTTTGCTACAATTATACGCCTGCTTCTTAAGGATAAACAAAACAAATCAGTAATCAAAATGTTAGAGATCAATTGAAACTACTTCCTTTTTGGACTTGAGCTGTAAATGTTTACACATAAAACAAAGGCTTTCTGAGAAAATAAATAAAATTATACAAGAAATAAACTATTAAACATTATTAAAAAATTAAGATTGGAAAGTATAATTAAAATAACTCCTGTATTTTAAGGACTAAGTGTCCTTTTTTTAATTTTAATTATTATGTAATAAAAAAAATTAACTTTTGGCCTTAAAAACCTTCAGTTTAACTTAGTAGTTTAAAGACTACAGCAGGCTTATAATCGTAGTGATCACAACAAAATTATACCAAAACAGACATGTACCGAATAATGCAAAAATGCATGTTTGTTGGGACTCCATCTTAATGATAACTCTGTCTTTCTTTTTTTGCCTTTCGTTTGCTCTTCTCACTTCCGATTGCGTGACCGATATTGGTATCGATTTCGAATGCGGTTAATCGATCATATTGCGTTCATTTTCTCAATTATCATTTCGTTTATATATCCATTTTGACAATTGTGCAATCGAATTGAATAGCATTTACAATTAAGCAAAGTAAGTGTACGAACAATTAGTTTGTTTAACCGCTATTTTAGTTGGCTGTCCCACTCTGGCACACGACACACTGTTATCGGTTTGACTATCGATAGGCAAATGGGCGGGCATATATTGGTAATCGTTATAAATGTACTCATGCAAAGCTATTAATCACCTATATATGTATTTATATTAAACTTTTAAAAAAGCTTGAAAAACGATCATTTCGATAAAACGTAATCGTGCCCGCCCATAACCGCAATATTTTAACCCTGCACTAAGACCACTGCCCTCTAAAAAAACACCCTTTAGATTGTTTATAACTGCAGTGATCCCCTACCCAAATTGATATATTTTTTCGATTTTTTCCGTTTATCCTCAACTTTTCTCTTTATCTCTCAACAACCAAAAAAAATCGAATTTGAAATAATAACATTGCCTGCCTTGCTACAACAACTCAAAATTGATTCCGAATTGAAAAAAAACAACAACAACTGCGTCTTGAAAAATAATATTGCGAACCAAAACTTTGAATATATTTAATGCACTCTCTGCACTCTACCAACCTGCAACCTGCAACTGCAACAACAACCGATATGAATGCCTCGACAATCAATAAACCAACCAACCAACCAACCAACCAACCAACCAATCAATCAATCAATTAACCAACAATCAATCCACGAACTGATAACCCAAAAAACCAACTCAAAACACCTTTTTCTCACTTTTCTCCCCTGCCAAACCAAAAACCAAAACATGCCACCACCCGCCTGTCTATCCCGCATTTGCATCCGCATCGCATCGCATCGCATCCGCAATGCATCCGCCCATTGTTCCATTAAAACGTCACCTCCAGGTTTTTCCCAAGGCGCCCAAGCTGCAGGCTAGCCAGGCGACCTTGGCCCGCCAGGACACCATCGACGAGGGTGGCGAGGTGGACTCGTCGCCGCCCAGTCGCGACAGCCGCGTGGTCATCGAGGGAACTGCCGGAGGATCCTCATCAGCTGCCCCATCTGGAGGAGCTGCCCCAGTGGCCACCACTTCCTCGGCAGCGGCAGGAGGATCAGGAGTAGGAGGAGTAGCAGGAGCAGTGGCAGTAGCAGGATCAGGGGGAGCACCACCTGGCACCGTTGTGGCCATCGTCACCAAGGCGGATCGCAACCTGGCCCTGGAGCGGGAGCGCCAGATCGAGATGGCCAGCTCCAGGGCCACCACATCGGACACCTACGACACTGGACTGCGGGAGACGCCGCCGACGCTGGCGCAGCGCGATCTCATCGCCACCGTGCTGGACATGAAGGTGGATGTGCGACTGGAGCTGCAGCGGATGCAGCAGCGCATTGGCCGGATCGAGGATCTGTTGGGTGAGCTGGTGAAGCGCCTGACGCCAGGCGGTGGCGTTGCTCCTCCTCCGCCGGACAACAGCAGTGGTCCGAGCACGCCCGGCGACGAGATTTGCGCGGGATGCGGTGCCAGTGCACCGGCCACATCCGCCGTATCGGTGGTAACCAGTCCAGTGGACACTGTGATAACAATTTCATCGCCGGGAGGAGGAGTAGGAGGAGGAGGAGGAGGAGGGGGAGGAGCAGGTGGACTCGGAGCAGGAGGATCCGCTGGTGGCGCTGGTGGTGGTCTGCTAAATCCGGGCGCCCCAGTTGTGTCGAGCGCGGGAGGCAACGGCCTGGGGCCACTGATGCTCAAGAAGCGACGCTCGAAGAGCAGGAAAGCACCGGCGCCTCCTAAGCAGACACTCGTCGTCGCAGCTCCCGCGGGCTCAGCCGGATCTGGCATGACGTCGTCGGCGCCAGCGTCAGCGGATCAGCAGCAACAGCAGGTGGATCAGCCATCGCCCACAACGCCGGGATCGGAGCTACTGCATCTGCGACTGCTCGAGGAGGACTTCACGGCGGCCCAGCTGCCTTCGACTTCGGCTGGAGGAGCTGGAGATGCAGGAACATCAGGATCTGGATCCGGGGCCACGCCCACGACACCGCCACCGCCCCCCACAGCTGGCAGCGGCAGTGCCACGCCCACCACCACCACGCCCACTGGCAGTGGAACACGGGGCAAGCTGGACTTCCTCTAGCCCAGCTCCATACCAGAGCAAATGGAGGATTAGAAGGCCTCCAGCCAGGAGCATTAATACAAAACATAAGGGGGAAGGGGGAAATGGGGGGAGGGGGATGGGCCCAGCCACGCCCACTCGCAAGCCTACGCCTACGCTTAGTTAGTCTATATATTTACGATACAGCTGTATAACCTCAACTCAACTCTGAAAAGCTAACTTCGTGTATCCTCAAACATTTTTCAAGACCACTGCAACATATTTGACCGAAAGTTAAGATATAATGCGAAATTTAAATAAGTTGTTCTATATTTTCTATATTAAGTGAACATGTGAAATTTACCACTGTCATATTATAGTTTATTTATAGACGTTATCAACTTTTGGAATGAAAACACAAGTCTGGACAACAAAACTGAATTCCTAAAAAAATAAATTGTATTATTTGAAATTTTTAAATATCAGTATAAAATTCAACAAATTTGAAACTCATATAATAACAAACATGGACTCCGAAATTGCAATCCTAAATTAATAAAAACTATTAAAACTTTTAATTAATTTGTATTAAATTAAAAAATTTAATAATTTATAGAAACTGATTTTAACGTTAGTTGACTTATCCATGAGTAATTTAATTTTGCTATGTTTTCGGTTTTTACTTTATAACCTTATTATAAGGGGTTTAACTTACCAAACTTGTTTTTACTTTTTGTATTTGCACGATGTTATTTAAAATTAACAAGTTTGCCTGTGAAGGAGATGAAAACCGTACAATACTTTGCTAACAATAATTTCATTATGTTTCAAAAAAGCAAACTGCATAATCAAGCGAACCTTAATCTATTATTTCATAGCATAATTTTAGGGAAATTAAAAGGATGTTTAAGAATAGTGAGGAACCATATGTTGCAGTGGATCTTTAGATGAAAAACTTTATTTTATATTCGCTACATAAAGCTCTACCTTATGCTATCCCTTTCTCTCTCTCTCTCACACACATACACACTCACACAAACACAAACACACACTCTGAATGGAAGTGCTCGATACTCGATATTCGATACTCTTTAACCGTTACATGATTATGATTATGATTATGATTACGATAGCGTTAGCTATAAGGATTAACGATTACGATTAAGGCAAGCATATTGCTTACGAATTTGCTACATTTACTGCAATTATTTACCTTTATATACATATATGTATATATGTGTATACATATATGGACAAAGACAAACGTTGTAAAGGACACACACAGACACAATCACACACACTCACACTCAGATATAGCTGTATGTATATATGGATAATTTTGTGATAACTGCTAAAGAAGGCAAAAAACCAGAAAACCAGATGAAAAAAAAGCTTACAGACCGAAACAATGCCCGTGAATTGTACATAGCCTAAAACCTAGCTTTAGAAAAGGATCCAAAGGGATCGTCACTCACACGAAGACACATACCGAACATGAAAATGCAAATGTACATAAATACACACAGAGATATATGTATGGATATAACCCGTCCTAACTAACTAACTTAACATAAAAACTCGGCTTGAGCACTCCGGCACTCGCACTCGCTTGACTCCCTATATTCTAGGCCTATAGACTCAGAAAACAAAAACTCAACTCAACCAAATAGTTAACTCAGCAACAGTAAAGCTTAAGAAAAACTTAAAAACGGAAAAACGGAAAAACAAATAATCTAGATACAGCAGTATGTGTGGCCGCTAAACGAAACGACAATCGACAGACCTAAGAAACCAAAACAAAAAAAAAATAAAAAAAAAAATCATAGAAAAACAAATAGCAAATCTCTAGTTACAAGCAAGGATCAAATATGATTTCTTTGGGCATTGTAAATATTTGAATTAAATTTTAGCAAAATATGTTATTACCATACGGGGTCATCAACACTTAACACACACCTACACACATATTTTGTGATAAACAACTAGCTAATGAAAAACCAATTTGAGAAAGTTTAGACAAAAAGAATTAACCTAGATATTTGTTTATGCTGGCATTTGATAGGCTTGCACTTGGCTTATAAGGAGGATTAGGATTTGGGTGGGATTAGGAACCGAACCGAAAACTCTTCAGGTCGCGATAAATAGTATGTTTAAGTGGGAGGAGAATGAGAATGAGAATGAGAAGTACTCCTATCCTGGACAGTTTAGAGGCAAGGTTTCATTACGTTTAAGTCGCCATCAGTTGGAGTCCACTTGAATCTCGTTCGGTTAGCATCGTTTTGATTCCCTAGTTGGTATTCGATAATTGCTATTTGATAAATGATATTTGATAATTGATATTTGATACTTATGATACCTAGTGTAGAGAGTGGGCAGAACCCGTTCCCCGGATCAAATGCGACTACGATTACGACTACAAATACATACGAACTGTCTTCCCTGTATAGTTGGGGGAGTTAAGGGATTAAGGGGTTTGGGAGTTCGGGTCTGTCCGCGAAAAAAGTTACTTAGTTCTAGTTGTAGATTTTTTCGATTCCCAATCCCCAAAGGTCGTTGGACCCACCCCCGTTAAACCAAAAGCAATTCAAGTGGTATTAAAACTTATTTACTAACTCAATCACATTCATCCAAATCCCCCCTCCCTATACATATACGTATTTCCAATACTCAAACAAAGAATCAAAAATTAATGGATAGCGAAGAGTAAATTTGTTGCATACATTTAGGCCTTAAGTTCTAGTTGAAAGTAGCGGGCTCACTGTACATAGTGTTTTTTTTTTATAACTATAAATCAAATATACCTAAACATAAATATATACATAAATAATTAAAAACGATTAGGCAGCAGCAGCAGCAACAACCAACTGAGTAAGAAAAGCTAAGACGCACTAGTTCGGAACGGAAGGAAACGATAAGACGGAGATTTACCGATAGTCCTCATAAGCAGATACGATCGCACTGATACGATAGCAGCCTAGTACTCGTATTGTTTGACCCCTACTCCCACTCTATCTCTAGTTGTCTCTCCCTCTCTATCTCTATCTCGCTTCCGCCCCCCGCCCTTCATATTCATTTTAGGGTGTTTTAAACCCAACTACACAGAGCCTTATAAATATAACCTAAAGTAACTAAACCAACTCAAGCCGCATTCAGCTAACTAGCAACTCAGACCTAATACAAACAAAAAAACCTAGCATATTAGCATTAAAACATTAAAAGTGAACGACAACGTGAAACTAAAAATGGTGCAATTAGAATTTTTAGATCAAGCTGAGCAAGCGAGCAGCTTAATCGAAATTTATATTGAACAATTTATGGGGAGGATGTGGATAAATAAATATACACACATAGGAGGAATAGCGAGTCTCATGTATATACACCCAGAAGGAAAAATGACAAAACAATCGAAGAAGAACCCTATATCGAGATCCCAGATAAGAAATCAACTCACACTCACGATGTTCTGGCCTTCAATTTCTCCTAGAAAACGCCCGATTCAGTCTGATATTTATATAAATGTACGTGCATACCATATGTATGTAGATCGCCAGATGATTAGGTTGCTGAAGGTCGGTTCGGGTCCGTTTTGGTGGACATTCGCTGAGAAGCGCCAAAGAAACTGATTAAACCATATTATTATTATAGATATGTACATGTATATATGTGTACCTCTAGTTACACCTAGAACGATAACGAGAACAACCTATCAAAATTAAGCTTTTATACGCCAGAATTTTTTTCTAAACAACTAAAAAAACAAAACAGAAGAAGAAAGTAAACTAGAGAAACACTCAACACAATTATTGCAAGCCAGAGAAAGAGAGCTAAATTAACTCACAACACTCAATTAACGAATACCGTTTAAAAATGCCCCAAGTGAAAACTAAATTAATTTAACTATACATTAACAATGATAGATAAAAAGAGCCTTAACCAAGAAAACACGCGCCTCATTTTCGTTTTTCCATTTATTACGTAAGTCCCACAGAAATGCTAAATATTAAAAAAACAAAAAAAAACAAAAATATTATGGCTAAACCAAACATACTAAAGATACTGAAAATACCAAACCAAAATATTTAGCATTATGCTCTAGACTCTAGACGAAAAAGAACCAAAATTTTACAACAACAAGATGAAACAAGAACAAACGCGTTAAAGCAATGTTAAACATTTTCCACCAATTTGAGAAGCATAGTTGCTTAAATAACAAACAAGAAATACCTAAAAAAAAAAAACAAACAAAAAAAACAACTGAAACTTATTTCGTACACGCGCCCTTTGTTTTTAAAAATCGAAAAGCTGCCTATTTATATATTTACAAACAAACAAACAAACAAAAAGAAACCAAACGAATCGAAAGGAAAGAGAATTACCAATTAACTACAAATCTAACAAGCCACAAAAATACTACATATTGCAATTGCAACATTCCAAGTAAAGAAAAAACCTAAAAAATAATACAAGCATGTATAAATAGTTTGAAATCAATTGAGTTTTGGTTCCATGACGCCGAAAACTTAGAGACATCAAGCCACGGCTTTGCTGAGCAGATTTACAGTTATATACATACACCCACATATATATATATATATATACACGATACATATATATATATACCGATATATGTATGTATATATTGGTAGTTTATACCATTTGAAGCTTGGGCTTGTTTAAAAACGCCAGGAGACAAGCCGAAATCGCGAAATCGATAACAGAAATAGTTGTAACATTTATTTGAGAATCGCTGGATTATTGCCTAAAGTTAATGTGTATAGTTACTTGATTATTGCCGCATTTGACCCACACTCACAACACTCAAAAACACACGAACACCAGACCGGCTGTACGCCCATTAGTATATCCCTGGGGTTAACGAATGGATCGAGCTAAAATGATGGGGAATCCAAACTAGAAACGCGGTAAAGCAAAGAAAACAATTTTCAGAACCGCAGAAAGCTAACACACAATAAATGAATGAGACAAAGAAAAGAGAAATACATACATAAATGTTTTTAAAAAAACTAACATCCACATTTTTGATTTTCTTGACTCCAAATCTATATGGTAAGTATGGCTTTATGATCCTCGAAATATCAAAATAAACATACCTCCGGAAGATGGTGTCTGAAGTTCTAATCGCTTGGCAAGCCATTGTGGCGGCCCAAGTTAAAATACCACCTTGCGGAAAAGCTGTATACTAAGAACATAGTTCCGAGATTTATTGTTATCTCTCTGATCGATATGTTCTTGTAGCGCTTGCTCTGGGGGAAAAAAAAAAAAGAAAGGAAAAGATACGTGTATGGCTCCATCTAGGAATGGAATTTTAGGTGCTATTAGCGCCATCTAGAGCTCGGCCGTAGGAGGGCTTGGCAGGGATGAAAAGTCGAAAGGAGAGCAACAGTGGCATGTGTCAACTTTTCCTATAATTCACCATAGATCGTTCCATAGGTTACCGCCAACTTTCCGGCGTGGGATTCGGTCTTTCCTATTTTGGCGGCCGAAGTGTTAAGTTTAAAAGGTGCAACTCGTCTAAGGAAAATAATCGCGAGTGTAGAAGTTCCAACGCCAAGGGAAAATTTTGGATTCCCGGACGTTTGTGCAGCGGTCTGGGGTGAGTTTTTTTAAAGAATAAAGGGGAAATCCTAGCAGTTCCTCGCGAGCGCAGGGGCGAGAATACCAAGGCCCAAGAAGCGAAGGCAAGGCGAACAAAACCGGCAGTCGGCGCAGGCGCAACCAGCATCTCGAGCGCACATCGAACCTAGAGCAACCGTCGAGCCAGCGCAGCCGATTTAAAATTGGAAATTACGGGCATTTAGTTGTGTAAAAGTTGTGTTAAGCGGGCATACGGCCCTAACTTCATCTCTTGCGGGCGGGCCGAGCGGCGCTCGTATGTAAAAGCAATCAAACACCCACACCGAAAACGCACAAAGCAAATCAGGTCAAAACTACCGATGTCTTGAGTTCGACTGTTTAAGGGAGATGTTCGATCGAGCGCAGATTTAGTTACGTTTCTCCTCTAATTCGCGTATGACGGCGGCGCGCGACCTGCTCTAAGAAGAGGCAGATAAACCTAGAATTGGCACCGCGTTTGGGCCAAGTAATGCTGTAATATCACCCGGAAAGTTTGGCCGCGAAAACGACCCAAGAGGGAAAAGTGATGACCTAGCCCGGATAAGTGTCATCCAGAAATTAAGTGATGATTTTTTTTTAGGTTAATTTATCAGTTAATTAAGTTCTTTTCGTTAATTGTTAACTATGGCAGTGGCAAGGCGAATGTCGATCTAGAAAACCCCAAAATTGTGTAAAGAAAAAAGTGCAGGGCGGTGTGATGAGGTGCGGCAGCTAAATTTGGTTTTTTTTTCTGTTCCTTTTTGTTTTGTATTTGAAATCTTAACCCCATAGCTCATCGCATCCCGAGGAAAGCGCTTTCGTCGATGGATTGGATTAATTATCGGTGAGTGAGAAAGCCCAATTTGAATCTCATTTCGTACAAAAGAAAATATATGATCGGGTTCAAAAAAAAATAAAAAGTAAAAGTATAATGTTATAACCTCAAACGACGGTAGAGAAGGAGCAAAGGAAAAAATGAATGAAATCCAAATCACTCTAAAGTAGAGAAAAAAAAAACTCAATTTTGGTTCCGACTCAATCGCACGGGATAATTGTTCAGCAGCTGTAATTTTTTATTCGTCTTTAATTTAATTTCTATTTTACGCGGATTGAATTTCCCCTTCCCATTGGCCTAAATTTTGATTTTTATTAAGAAAAAGAAAGAAATATTACAAGTCGATTTACGCATTTCTCACACTTAATGTTTACACACTCTAAGTTGGATATTACTAAGTTATATGTCGTATTTATACATGTCCATAAGTAAATCTATGATTATGTTTAGTGTTAATAATGTTTTTAGCTGGTAATAAAGTTTTTATAATGTTCTAAGAAAATTTGAGATTGGCCGCAGCTAGCGAAATGCAAATGTAGGGTAGCGCTTAAGAGAAGGGGTCGCTCAGGCTATTGAGCAGGTGGATGGAGCGACCAAAGGAAGGGTGGGCTAGACTGGACCTCCACAACATCTGAGGGGGCAAAAAGGGGAATTCAGCAGCATTAGGGTCATTCTTCTTTTCCAGCAGTAATAGTTACATGTGTGTCTCTATCGTTCCGGTTTGTTGTCGTTGCACGCGATATTAAGGTATCAATATTGATAGGCAAGAGTGAACACAAGCAAGACCACCACAGCCTTAGCCGACGAGCCGCCAGCCGGACAACTATTCCGCGTGCGCTTGTGTTTCACCTTCAACATCTCGCCTGTGATAATTTATAATGAAGCTACCCGTTACATTCTAAGAAACACATCTCTATCTCTCTTCTTCCGGCTCCTTATTGAATTTCGCTATATGCCGTTCGGTCTTAAAAATGCTACACAGACTTTCCAAAGGTTTATAGATAACATTTTCAGTGGCATCGATTTCGTTTATTGTTATATTGACAATATCCTGATAATGTCCACTTCCTTTAAGGAACACGAAAAACATCTGCGTACCGTTAAGGAGATCCTTCGTAACAGTGAACTTTGCATTAACCAGGACACCGGCAGGACAATGGATGCACAGCCTCGTATAGTTTATGCGCTCGCAACATATTGAAAAGCCAACTCGGAAACGCGTTCAACTTTCGTAATTAGATAGAGTGAAGGGCGCTGGGAATGGTGTCCAAAGTTGCTCATTTTCCGCTGGCCGTTGCTATTAGCTATGAAATTCAATCGATTAATTATTAAATGGTTGTTTTTTTAAGTGGGCTCGCGAAATAAGAGTTCGCTTCTTGCCGTTTTTAATTATTGAATGAGTTTTAATTGAGTGTCAAGTTCTACATAGAAACAAATGAAAAAAGGACACTGTTTTTTTACTTTTTGTTATCATTAGCAATACAATTTAAATCGATGAGCTTTTAAATGTGTTGGGGTATTAAAGGTAATTTGAATTCGCCTGCTTGTTGTTAGGTTCATGTATAATAAACACAGTTGAGCAATAAAGAACTATACGAGGCCTTCTTCAATCAACGAACTAGGAAGATTCCTCGGAATTATAAATTATCATCGGAGATGCCTTCCTCGTTCGTCACACATCCAGGCTCCTCTTTCAGAACTTCTTAGGAACGTTAAGAAAAACGACCAACGCCCGATCGAATGGACACCAGAACGAGTTTCCGCTTACGATTCTTGTAAACAAAGCGTCATGGATACCGGCTCATCCCTTTCCAAAAGCACAACTGGCTCTCGTGTATGACGCTTCTGATGTCGCAATTGGAGCTGCACTAGAACAGCTGGTCAATGGTCATTGGCAGCGTCTTGGTTTTTTCACAAAAAAATTAACCGACACTGAGAAAAATTACATCACATACGATAGAGAGTTGCTCTCCATTTATGAAGCCATCAAGCATTTCAAGCACTGCCTCGAGGGACGAATATTTTGCATACAAGCAGACCACAAGCCTCTCATGTAGGCATTTAGGCAGTGGCCAGTAAAAGCGTCACCGATGCAACCTCGTCATCTTGTCAACATTTCGCAGTTCACGACCGAGATCATTCAAGTCAAGGGATCTGCAAGGATCTGCGGATGCGTTTTCCAGGCTATGTGCTATTACCATGCCAGCGTCTGTAAGCCTAAACCAAATCGCGCAAGCACATGCAGCTGATACTGAGCTCCCGAGCTTACTGCAAGGAACTACTTCATCTGACTCCAGAAAAGATCACAGTTCCCAGCGACAGATTCAACCATGTTCATCTGGACATCGTCCTCATGCCGTTCCATCAAAACTTTCGGTACTGCCTTACCATGATAGACAGATTTACTCGCTGGCCGGAGGTTGTCCCTCTTACAAGCATATCGGCTGATACAGTGGCTCAAGCTTTTTGGTCACAATGGGTTGCTCGTTTTGGAACACCTAAAACAAAAACAACTGACCAAGGTACTCAGTTCGAATCAGGGCTGTTCAAGGAACTGGTTCACCTCATGGCACACGACTGCTTATCACCCCCAGTCCAACGGAATGGTCGAAAGATGGCACAGATCATTTAAGGCTGCGATGATGTGCCATTCAGGCACCCCTTGGCCGGAACTGCTACTCATCGTTCTGCTTGGACTTCGTACCTGTTTAAAAGAGGACCTTAAATCATCGGCTGCGGAGATGCTATATGGAACAACAATCCGCATGCCGAATGAATTTTTTGAAGATCTCGATGTAAACGTGGATCCTGCAACCTTCATTGGCGATTTTCGTGACCTGATGCGAAAGATTCGTTCGACTCCTTCTGCGCACCACAGCAAGCAAAAAATGTTCCGCCTAAAAGAAATAGACAAATGCTCTCATGTATTTATTCGGACCGATGCCGTCAAACTACCATTGGAACCGCCTTATTCAGGACCTTTTGAAGGGTTTTATCGCAACAGCGACCGAGTTTTCACATTAAATGTCAACGGCAAGGCTGTCTCCGTCGATCGAATAAAACCGGCCTTTCTAGCTAAAACCGACACACAGCAGGATGCTCAACCTGAGATCGCTGTACAGCCACAAACCTACCAGAACAAGCGAGTACAATTTAACGTATCGTGACGTCGTCACTGGAGAGGGAGTACTGTGGCGGCCCAAGCTTAAATACCTCCTAGCGGACAAGCTGTAAACTAAAAACTTAGCTCCGATATTTTTTGTTTTGCTCTCGATTAAGCTGCACGCACGTTTTGTAACTCCTTACATATATTAATAAAATAATATGTGTTACCATACCATGAAATCAAAAGCGCCATTTGTTGTGAAAATAAAACATCTGATTGCTTGCAGTGACCTACATACATGATAATGTTTGACTTTAATTTTTAAATAACATCTAAAACTTTGGTGTGTCGATTCAACACATACCGCCCAATATGAGTTATAGATGAGTTATTTCTTGTTTAGTTTTAAATTCAGATAAACTATCTTCTGAATCTTAAACATATATAATATTAAAAAGACAGCAGTAGCAAATATACATTAAGAATTGATTTTTATTGCATTCATAATAAATATATATAATTTCGTTATTTGCAATACATATGTATATAAATGTTGCATAATGTGCCATTTTACTGGAGTGAGGGTGAAGAAGAGAAGGGAGGGGGAGGATGGTGAGGGGGTGGCAGGAGGAGGTCGTGGAGGTGGAGGTTAGAGGTCAGGGGTCAGGGAGCAAGAGGATTATGTACACACTTCTCGCGCTCGTTCCCACACTCCCTCTCTCTCTCTCTCTCTCTCTCTCTCTTTCTCGATCAACTCCGAATTGTACATTAAATAAATAGTGAGTTTTTAATCTTAAATATCGTTTCGACTCGTGTGTTACAAAATAATATTGCCTGGGAGAAAATATGCTATATACGCTATTTGCTATTTGCTAATCTGTAATCCAATATCCATCGTTTTAAATATCAGCTATCCTAGAAAATATCTATCCGTTTCCCGTTCCGTTTTCCATTCCGATGTGTGAATTAATGTCTAGAGAGGGGAATGAAAGACCGATCCTTTCAAATGGGGGTTTCGTGGGTCTTGTTTTTGGGTGATCTCTTTAATCTCTACAAATATGTCCGCGAGTCGTCCGACCGTGACCACATGCTCAGCCACATGTTCGGAGCCAACTCCTCGTCGTCATCGTCATCGTCATCGTCGTCATCATCGGCATCGTCGGCATCGTCATTCGGATGGTTGTTCCATATCCAGGTGTCTGGCTAAAATGTCTGGGCATTGCGGCAGACGCCGCATCCCAGGGCGAACTCCTCGCCGGTGGGCGGATGCATCACGTGCAGTGGGCACTCGTCGCCCAGCAGCTGCTTGGCCTTCGGTCCGGCCGGACATTGTGGCAGCTTGACCTTCGGTATGTTGGTCAACCGCTGGAAATCGTCGTGGCAGGTGTCACAGAAGTGCGTAGTCCCGAAGCAGAAGAACACCGCCACCGAGCAGCAGTATCGGCACTTGTACTCCAGGAAATCGGTGCCATGCTTGGGACACATCTGCGCCCTGGCCACATCCGAGCATCCGCCGCACACCAGCTCCTCCGGGTCGAACTTCTCGCCAATTTCCGCATCGCAGCGCGCCTCACCGCCGTAGTACGCCTTCTGGCACTTAAAGCACACGTAGTAGGCATACCGATCCATCGCCAGCTGGGTCGTATTCACGTCCTTGCTGTCCGTGTCCTTGACCCAGCCCTCGTACTTGATTCTAGAAAGGAGAAAACGAAATGGTTCACTAACAGGGCTGAGGGAGGACTATCAATTGCCACTTTTTCAGAGCACAGCATTTAATATACTTCACAAATCACAATCACAAAAAGAAAACACACTTAACAGGGATTTTGAAAAAAATAAAAAAAAAAGCTTAGTACTTGGCTCTCTTAACAAACTATTTTTATTTACCTACTCACAAAAAAGAACATGTAAAAAATAGTTACATGTACAAAAAAAAAAATAAAATTAACAAGTGCCTATAAGAAATGCCAAAAATACTCTTATAATCATTGACCAGCTTAAGGATTGTCCAAAACATATATAATTAACTGTCTATATGATCCTAACAAAACCTACTAAATTGGATTTAAAAACCCTTACGAAAATGTGTGTTTTAACGCGCTTTAAAACTGTTAAAACGGGTTAAAACTTTAACGTTTAATGTATTTAATAAACTTTTAATGCATAATTAAAAAATACCTCAATATTTTTTCCTTTAAATACATTTTCTTTTAAAACTTTATAAAGATTTCATTATGAAATGGATTACTTTAAACTAATAGTAATTAAATAAAGAATATGCTATTTAAAAGGTAGCATTCAATTAGTAAACATTTAAAAATAACACATGAAAAAAGAAAAGAAATTATTTTTTAAAGCTTGATGATTTTAGAATATGATTTTGTCTAAATATGTTAAATAATATAATCAAAGATAATAAACTAATGGATTTTTGAATCTTTGATAAAGATTTGATTGTGATATGGATAAACTTATATTTATTTAATAAAGATTAATAAATATTTATAAGGAAACACATAATACAAAAAAAAAAGAGTTTTAGAGTTTGATTTCGTCGTTTGGATTAAATGGATTAAACAAATATGTTTAATGCTGCATCTTTTAGGCGTAAAATCAAAGCAAATAAAATCATAACTCTTGCATTCTTTAATATGTAAACATTGCAGTCCCTTACCGCATGAGAGCCTTGCGCTTGACATCCTGCTTGAGTCCGTTGATGGGCTCCAGGATGTCGGCCAGCAGGGGATGCTGGATGTCCGCCTTGCAGATGGGGCACAGGGAGAAGCCGAAGGTGATGCGTGGTCCACTCCAGCGCTTCTCCAGCACCGCCTTGCAGCAATGGTAGTGGAACACATGGCCGCACTCCAGCTGCAAAAGAACCATGGACATTAGATAGGGATCACAAAGGGGAAGACTAGCCCAATCTTACGTGTATGGAGGGAGCACAGGATACGGCCTCCACGAAACAGATCATGCACATGTCGTCCGCATCCTGGGTGAGCTTCGGATCCCTTAGCTCCTCGGCCAGCTCATTTTCGCGACTGTGGCACACATGCTGCAGGCAGGGCAGGCACTTCCTTTCGCCGGTGACGCCGCCACACGCATGACCACATGGCTTGGTCTTCAGACACGAATTGGCCGCATACTCCTGGCACTGGGCATCCGCACACACGTTGCCGATCTCCAGCAGACCGGAGTTGCCGGTGAGGCCGCAGAAGCGACACCTGCCCACCGTCTCCTGGGGACCGGAGATGATCGTGTGGCTGCCATCGCGGAACTCCACCATAGCCTTCAAAGTCTTGGAATCGGCCAAGGCCAGCAGCCAGAAGAGTTTGGTGCGGCCGCACGACTCGTGCAGCTCCACGCGGATGGCCTCCTCCTCCTCCTTGCAAACCTGGTACATGAAATGAAGAGGTTTTTAGTGAATTTTAGTGGATATACTTGCGGTCAAAATAATAACATTAAGTGCTACAAAAAAAAAACCTTTATGTCGTAATACTTTTTTTCTTCAAATTTATCATAGTGATTCCTTTCCAAAAAAACAAAATGAGACACAAAGAAAAATTAAAAGTGTTAGAAATTCCCAGGAATTGACATTAAGAAGTCAGTAAATACTTTAAGTATAATTTAAGAACACCACAAAAAATAATCGTTCATAGTAAAAAATTTTAAGTTGAACAACATGAAGTGCTTAACTAATTAAGACAAGTCTCAATAAACATAATGAGATACAAAGGAAAATTAAAAGTGTTACGAAATTTCCAAGAGTTGAATTTCTTAATGCAGGACAGTAAATACTTTAAGTAAAATTTGAGAAAATCACAAAAAAAATCGTAAAATCGTAGTAAAAACTTTGTGGTTAAACAACATGAGGTGCTTAACTAAAAAAAACCTTTAACGCATAAAATAAATCTCAATAAACAAAATGAGATACAAAATAATATTGATTTTTTTTTTTGTTTTCCAGAAAAACATAAAATTTTTAAAAATTTGTAAAATTTGACATCATAAAAAACGATAGTAAAACAATTTAGGAAAATTTAAGAAAATCACAAAAAACCCTCATTTTTTATCTATTTATTAAAAATAATATTGAACAAAAGATGTTTTATCGAACTTGTTTATAATTATTATATTAGAAATGCCGATTTTTATATTTTTCCCATTTAATTACTTCTTGAAATTTTAACAAAGTTATCTTAAAAGTTGTTTCTAAGCAATTTGCATTTTCCCTTTCCACAAGCCAAAAAAAGCTACTATTATTTTGAACGCAGCTGTATGTGGAATATCAGTCAACTCACCGTTCTCTTGTGGGAGCGTGTCTTGCGATTCAGATGCAGGAAGCGATCGCAGTCGCCGCACAGGGATCCGCAGGTCTCGCACTGGATGATGGCCGCCGTTTCGCCATCGTCGTGGTTGCTGCACAGTGGCCGCGTGTCGCACAGCTTGGACCACTGGCCGGAGGAGAGCTTCTCCACGTGGTCGCGCTCCAGGACACACAGACTGGCCAAGGCCAGCCACAAGGTCGAGGTCTTCGTGCAGTGCTCCGGCGAGCGGTAGATCTCCTCCAGCCGGGTGAGATTCAGCACGGATTCGGCTATGGCCGCCTTGGTGATCTGTGACCACTTCTCGCTGAGCTTACCCTGTGAAATTGTACAGCAAATTAGTAAATTAAATACACAGTGCAAGCGATTTCAGATTCTGAAAGTACTCATTGAAGCGACATTAATATTTGTAGTAAAATCGCATTCTCATCCTCAAAAATATTAAAGTTAAACACTTAAAGAAGTAAGTACAAAATGCAGACCAAAAAATGTAAAATAAATATACGATTTGGTATTTGCATAAAATAAATACTTTTTCGACCTTTTAAAGATAATGCACTTTTTCAAAAAATTTATTTTGCTTTTTATACCCAAATTTTTACTTCAATTTTCCAATTATGTATTATCTCTAAACGCGAGCTGAATCAGAAACTTTCAAATGGGTTTTTACTAGACTCTACAATAATTAAAAAAAATTAGTATACCCAAAAATTCCATATTCAATTTAAGAATTATTCGCTTGAAACACTCAATTTTTTTTTTCAATTTTAATTTGACTAGTTTTGGAATCGATTTTATTGTCTGAATTAATTTATTTAATAATATCCAAAATATGTTAGACTTTAAAATACATAAAACAAATAGTTACCATTTTAAATTCAATATTAATTGAACTACTCAACAATAATTATCAATTGTTTTTATAAGTGTTCTCATACACTTTCGGATTTAAATTAAATTTAAAATGCAGTTACACTTAAAAATCCCAGAATGCCAAAAAAAGTTCACTTACGCTGGCCAAATCCCTTATCAGACCGATAATGCTCTCCGCCTGCTTGGTGGATATGACTCCGTTGAGGAACCAGCGCTGGTTGAGATTCCTCTTCGACTCCTTCCTCGGCGGCAGGGCCTCGAACTGGAAGGGATCGGCTCCGCCGGACTCGCCGGTGGGCGGTCGCGATGATCTCAGCTGCTGCACGGAGAGATCCAGTGAGCTGCAGAGTCGCACAAAGGCGGGCGTCTTCTCCTGCTGGCCCGCTTTCGAAGCAGCTCCTCCTCCGCCTCCCGATGAGCCAGCCGTGGCAGAGCCAGATCCCGAACCTGCTCCTCCGGCAGACACCGCCGTGGTCTTCACCTTGACCTGCAACTGCAGGGACTTGGCTATCACGGCCAGGAATATATCCAGCAGGCCCAGTCGACTCATATCGAAATCGCTGGCCGACTGGTGGGCAATGCTATAGTCCGCCGGCGGCAGTCGCTGCACTCCCAGCAGCTCGGCGAAGCTCTCCGGCGATATTTCCGGCAGGATGCGGCGCAACAGAGCCGTGACCTGTCGCTGCACCCGATCACTCCCAGTGTGCAGCAGTCCCAGCAGATCCCGGAGCAGTCCATGTTGCTGCGAGAGATAGGAGCGACCCACCACACTGCCCGACAGGGCCAACACCATGCTGAGCATCTCGAAGCAGTAGGTGTCCGGGGCTCGACTCCTCTCCGGCGAGCCCTCACTGCTCACGGATGCGGCGGGCGCAGTGGGAGCAGTGGACGCAGTGGAAGCAGCTGGCTGGGATTGCAGCTGCGGTGGCTGCTTCAGGGCATGGGCCAAATTGGCCAGCTCCCAGTCCTCCTTGGCTCGCTGTGCCTCCTTGCGAATCGCATGGACAATGTGCACGATGACCTGCTTCTGCAGGTGCGACAGCTTGCTGCGCGAGAACAGTATGCCCACCATGTGCTCCCGGAGATCGAGGGAATCGGCCAGCAGCGAGGTGCCAGCCACGCCCCCACTGCTCGGTGGTCCTCCGATGCCCGCCGAGTCCGGTGGCACCACTTCGGAGCCCACATTGCTGATCAGCTTGCCAAACACTTGGCCAGTGATCAGACGGAAAACCCGCAACGTTTCCGCCTCACAAATCTGCTGTTGGATGCGCGAGGCGTAACTCAAGCGCACATTGGGCTGATGCTGATGCTGATGCGAATGCTGATGCAGATGGTGCCTGTGATCCGAGGGATCCTGGTCCTGACCCTGACCCTGACCCTGACCCACCGATCCACCAGTGGGGAGGCCGAGCAACTTGATCTGGCGCACGCGCAGCGTGTTCTCCGGCCCATGCAGCTCCAGCCGGAAGTGGGTGCAGCTGTCGTCGCAGATCTTCGCCGAGATCCAGGAGCAGGCCTTCGGGTCCACGTCCGCTGACTTAATCACATTTGTGTCGCCCAGCGACTGGCCGGCATAGAAAACCACATTGAGCACCTTGTTCTGCAAAGATTCCATAAAATCAATAATGTTAAGGCGTACTTATGAAAATGGCGGTTTACTATGTAGGCGAGTATATTTATATAACCTGAAGGGTCGCAAAAAAAACTCCCTTTACTCTAAACTTGGATTGTCAACGCTCATTGCAAAGATAAAAAAAAAAAATTACTTTTCGAAATCAAACGGGGACTTGCTTTGTTCAGGTCAAAACGAAACATCTTTAAAAACATGAGTTTTAACTCTTTGCATTCGTCACAAGATTTACATTCGAATGGCATCCACAGCTAAAAACGTTTAATATCGCCAAAAACTCATGATGTAACTTTTATACGAAAAAAAAAACTATACAAAAATAAGTTTATTTTTTTTTTCTTTTAATTGTTAATTTTTGCAAAAAATAAATAACTTATAAGTTCTCGAAACCCGGGTTTCAACTATACTTGTAAGTTATGGGTCTTATCACGATCACGAAGATAACATTTAAGTATTGGGTGTACAAGTAGAAAACCGCCGTTTTCCACTGGGTGGCGCCACCTTTGGAAATCGGTGAGGGAATTCCGATCAGAAGCATCACATGGCAAGCTTAGGTATCGGTCAACAACTCCACATCATCTCGCTCGTCTATTCTCATTGTCCATTTTTTTGTTGGTGTGCGAAGATGTCGAAATTTGAACCGAATAACCATCATTTGCGGAAGATTTTGCTTTTCGCGTTTCATTCAAAAAAATCTGCTGCTGAAGCGCGTCGAATGATTGTAGCAACATATAGTGAGTCGTGTATCAGTGAAAGAACGTCCCGAGAATGGATCGTGAAATTCAAAAATGGTGATTATGACGTGGAAGACAAGGATCACCCGGGTCCCGTGAAAAAGTTTGAAGATGCAGCTTTGGAGGCTCTGTTGGATGAAGATTCTTGTCTGACACAACAAGAATCCATCACAGAGAGAGAAAGCTCTATTTTGAATAATCAGTATGTAGCTATTTTTACGCAATAAAGCCTCAAACTATGAAAAAACGGCGGTTTTCTAGTTGTACACCTAATACAATAATATAAGTAAACATTTAGCGATCTGTTATATATTGGGTTCTGTAATCTGTTTGTTTATATATGGATCAGTGATCTTTAAGTAGACTCACCTGAATGTCCCGACTATTGTCGATGTGCACGAGGAGATAGCGACAGGCGTAGTTGAGCTTGGTCAGCGACAACTCGATGATCTTGCACTTGTTGCGATCCTCCTCGTCGCTCTCCCAGAAGGTTTCCGTTGAGTTGTCCGTCAGGGATTCGGCCATGGCTGGACGCGAGGAAACGGTGACCTCGAACATGCCCGCCAGATCTGTGTAGCAGATGAGCCTCGCTCCAGCTCCAGCTCCAGCTCCAGTTCCAGCTCCAGATCCGCCATTCGCAACGGGATGCAGCTGATTGTGCTCCGCATCGCAGTCGGGGGGCTTGAGGATCGTCGATACGGCCATGGCGTCGTTCTGCTCATCCGACTTGGACAGTATCTTCGAGATGTTGCCGAACACATGCGAGCTGTGCAGGAACTGATGGTCGGCCTGGCGGAAGCGGATGCCGAAGCACTGGATGGCCACCCGTTGCAATGGCGAACCGGGTGGCAGGTGGAGCGTGAGATCCGCCACCGATTGGAGCAGCACATGCAGGGATTGGGTGATCAGATGGGCGAATCTGCCGCTGATCTGGGTGTAGGCCACCGGGTGTTCCAGTGCCGGCTCCGCGGCCTCTTCACCCTGCCTGCCAGCCTCCGGCGGATGACCACCCGCTCCGGTGGCGGAGGTCAGCGAGCTGACGAACCACCACATGAGATCGTGCAGGCACACGCCCTGGGTGACGCTCCGCAGCAGCCAGTTGAGCGCTTGCAGGGCATAGATCCTGCAGGCAGCGATCCTCAAGCTCCTGCGCATGGCCGCCCTCAGCCTGTCCAGCTCGTGCTTCTGGGTGATGAAGGCCATGGCCGGACGGGTGAGCAGTTGGCTACCGCCTCCATTCTGGCCCGCCGACTGATCCAGTCCCAACGTGCCGGACTCCTTGCTGGCTCCCCCCGGTTCGGACGACTGCAGCACACTGGACACACTGGCCAACAGCTTGTGCGGCACCAGGCGACGCAGATGCTCCGACGGGTAGCAGATCAGCAGGGATCCGTCGCCCTCGCTGGTGGAATTGTTTCGCCTTCGGTAGACCACCTTGGGCACCTGTCCCTCCGCCGGTGGCTGCTGGTGTTGCTGCAACTGCAGGTGCAACTGTTGCTGCTGCTGCTGTTGCTGCTGCTGATGATGCTGCTGCGGATGGTTGTGCTGCTGCTGCAGCTGCTGCTGCTGCGGGTGGTTGTGCTGCGCCAGTGCGGCCCAGCCCTGACCCATCGAATAGCTGCGGTGGAACTTGGAAAGATTACCACCAGGAGCTCCGCCACCGGCCGTGGATCCGGGCGCCAAGGAGCCGGACAGCAGATCGTAATTGTTCGGTTCGCAGGACTCATAGGAGATCTCCGAAAGAGGCTGTTGGGCGGGAGGATTAAAATATAATTAGAATCCAGCTGCCTTTTTTGGGTGGGGGTTTGCAATGCCAGCAGACTTTCTTTTACTACAACAAAGTGCTATAACGCCCGCAGATGTGATTGCATTTCCAAAAGTGCAATAACGCCAAAAATACAAGAAATAATATTTATCATATATCATCTAATAACTATATAATCAAAATATTGTTTTTATGTTTCATCAGGAACAAGTTGTTAATACTACACATATTTAAAAAAAATGGTTTTAATAACTTAAATTAAAAATGAATTTAAAAATTCATTAATTAAAGCTTTTTTACTAATGTAAAGAATATTATGATCGATAGAATACACACTGAAACTTTTTAAAAAATTCTTAAAATACTTAAATTTGAAATTTAATTATTGCAGTTATTATTTTAATAACGCCAAGCAGGCTTTAATGGATATTTGTAAATATTACATAATACAAGAAATAATATTTATCAATTATCATATAATAACCATAGAATCAAAATATTGATTTTATGTTTCATCAGCAACAAGTTGCAACATTTTAGAGTGTACATAAAAAAATATTATACATATTAAAAAGAAATATAATGGACTTAATAACTTAAATTAGAACAGATTTAAAAAAAAAATTTCTAATTAAAGCTCTTCCACTAATCTTACAAATATTACGATACACACAGAAACTTTTTAAGAAATACTTTAAAAAACTTTGAAATTAGTTTATTGTAGTTAATAAGTTGATAAGATTCAAAATATTGATTTAACTTTGAATTGGGAAATACATAACATCTGCGGGCGTTATGGCACTTTGAGTTAGTGAGTTAGTGAGTTTAGTTCGGTTACTCACCCTATCGTATCCATTGTCGGTCGAGTTGGGCCCCAGTCCAAACATCTCGTAGGGCAGATCCTCGTGTCCGGCGGTGCCCAGGCACTCCAGACACGCGAAGCTCTCCGGCGCCAGCCACACGTTCTCCGGCGCTGTCGGCGGTCCGCCGACAAAGCTCTTGCGGAACGCCCCACTGCCGACTCCCGGACAGAACTTGGAGCCGCTCAGGCGGGCCATCCGGCTGCAGCGACTGGTGCTCGGCTTGAGGTCCGAGTTGCCCAGCTGGTGCTCGATCACCACGGGCATGGCCACCACGGACATCTGCTGGGGCGATCGCTTGACAGTGGAGCTACTGACGGCGGCCAGGCTGCCGGCTGCTCCCGATGCGGAACTGGAACTCGAGCAGAGCTCCAGCAGGAAGGTGGCGTTCTCCCGCATCGTGGTGTACACCTCGGCATTGGCTATCAATGTGGTGGACTTTACGCCAAACAGATTCAGTTCATTGCCTGAAAAAAAGGGACAAAGGCAGGTATTATAGCAAAAGTAGCTTGGAAGAATCCGGCAGATGGCGCCAGCAAACCATAAACCGAATGCACCATTTGTTGTGAAACGACTCACTTTGTTTTTTAACTTTAAATCCATACTTATTTTAACACTATATAGATTAGATTTGAAAAATTGTTCGTGTATAGATAGACAAAGGCAGGAATTCCAGTCGAAGGAGCTAGGTACAATGCAACCAAAACAAATATAAATACGCTACCCGGCAGATAGCGCCAGGAAATCATAAAGCCGAATGCAGATGTTGTTGTGAAAATGACGTCACTGATTTTGTTTCTCAAGCTTAAATCTCTACTCATTTTGATACTATAAAGATTTGATTTACAAAATTGTTCGTGTATAGATAGACAAAGGCAGGAATTCCAGTGGGAAGAGCTAGGTACAATGCAACCAAAACCAATATAAATACGCTACCCGGCAGATAGCGCCAGGTAATCATAAAGCCGAATGCAGAATTTGTTGTGAAAATGACGTCACTGATTTTGTTTCTTACTCTACTCATTTTTACACTATATAGATTAGATTTGAAAAATTGTTCGTGTATAGATAGACAAAGCAGGAATTACAGTTGGAGGAGCTAGGTACAAATATAAATATGCTACCGGCAGTTAGCGCCAGCAAACCATAAAGCCGAAAGCGTCATCTGTTGTGGAAAATAATTGGCTGCTTGCAGTTACGTTAATGATATTGCGACTTTAATTTCTTAATGACTTGTATAATGATGGTTAGATTTAAAATTTTGTTTGGCGTATAGATAGATATAACCATCACCATTCTTGGGCATTAGAGTGGGCATGGTCATGCAAAACTATTTCTAAAAAAAAACTCACCTTCGGCGGCACTGGACTCCAATTGCCGGGCGGCACTGTTGATGTTGTTGGCGCTGCGACAGGAGGCGAGATACCGATCTCGGCAGGGATCGCACATCAGGAACCAGGAGGAGGCCCCCTTGCCGCCCTCGCCGCAGTTGCCCGCCCATCCCTCGCAGAAAATGCCCACGGAATTGTAGCCCTTGCCCTTGGCGGACTTACCACAGCCCGGATGGGCGATCCTCATGTGATATGTGACGGGCATGGGCAGGAATAGTTCGCAGATCTCGCACCAACTCCCGTCGTCCTTCTTCTTGCGCTTGCACTTCCTGCCCAGATCCTTGTCTGCGCCGGCTCCCTGATCCGAGCACTTGCCATCCTTGCCCTCGGTGTCCGCATCTCCGTTCAAATCACGACTTCCCGGGGAGAGTAGTCGCGGCTCCCTTTGCTCCAGCGCATTGGACTGGACAATCTGGACGCAGCCGGAGCAGATCTGCTCCCACAAATAGACAAGACAACGCAGGGCTGGCGGCAGAACGCTCACCATTTCGGGCAGAGCCTGCAGCTTTTGGGCCTGATCCTCGCCAGGATTGACCACCCCGCCGGCCAGCAGATTCTTGCGATACTTGCTGCGATTGTGCAGCGAGCAGTTGCCGCTCTTGGTGAGAGTTTCCAGCGTGGATGGCCGTATGTTCAGGTAGTGGCCCGCATTGGCCACCTCCACGGAGTGCCGCTGCTGTGCCTTCTGCTCCCTGGACAACTGCAGCCGGGGATCACCGGCCTCGCCGCGACGCGTGACCACTGTGGCCCCCTCCTTGGGCAGCCCCGGATGGAACTTGAGGAAGCTGGCGCAGGCCATGGCATCGTGGACCACTCCCTCATGCCACAGCAGGGCGGCAAAGACGGCCCGAATGCTCTCCGCAAAGGAGGGCGGCATGGCCCGCTTGATGGGCCCCATGGCGGTGCTCCTCTTCGACGATCCCGGCACCGAGGAGGAGGAGGAGGAGGTGGTGGCCAGCTGCAGTTCGCTCAGCTGCTCCCCCTGCCCCGTGGTCGTGGTGGTGATCTGCAGCAGGCTCAGGTCATCCTCCAGTCCGCCAGTGTCCGCGGGCAGCATGGCGCCACCACTTCTTTTGGGTGTGTGCTTGGGCGTGGAGAGAAGGGCAGCCGTTTGACTGGCCGAGTAGTTGGGTCTCCTCATGCTGGCCAAGCTGAATTCCGGCTCCTGCTGATCCTGCTGCTGCTGCTGCTGCTGCTGGCTGCGATTCCCATTGCCACGTGGCGAGGAGGAGTCCTGGCCACCCATGGCCCGCACCAGTTCCCTTACAGAAACCCCGGCCAGGGGCGGCGAGTGGGAGGGGGTCAGGGGTTGGGCCCCATCCACGGCATCCCCCTTGAACCACTTCTGCAGGGCCTGCAACTTGATGGCTCCACCGCCCACCACGCCGGCAATGGCTGAGCCAATGTGCGCGGGCAGCAGTTCCACCGCGGGCAGGGCCTCCTGTTCCGGCTGCTCCTCCGGATCTTCAGACTGCTGCTGCTGCTGCTGGTGCTGCTGCTCCTCCTCCTTGTCCCGCTCCTCCTTTTCCCGCTCATGAGCCTCCCGCTCGGCGAGATCGGCATGCTTGGAGGGATAGAGAAAGGGATTGGTGGACTGATGGCCGGCCAGAAAGCGACCTGGCTTCGATTTGGCTGGGCTGAGGACCGGGCTGGGATCCCGATCGGGATCGGGACTGGCCTCACCGCTGCCGCCCGTTGGACTGACCGGCGGCGGCGGCTCCTCCTCCTCCTCCTCCTCCTCATCCTCATCCTCCGCTTCCTGGGTCGCCGCCTTCGGGCCCTTTCGCGGTGCCGCCGGATTCACCACCTCCTTGTCGGTCACCGGCTGCAGCAGCATCCTGGCCAGGTGCTGGTTGAACTGAAGACACCAGGCCTCCGTGGGGTACCAGCCCATGGTGCAGTGCTGCCGAATGGACTCCGTGGACAGGCGCAGCCAGATGCCGTCGTCGTTCTCGATCTCGTCGATGAACGAGATCACGCCGCCCACCCGCACCACGCCCACCTGCTCCGACTGCAGCGTGGGATGGGATCGAATCCGCAGTCCGGAACTATGGCGCGCCTGAAAGAGGAAATGATTTTATAATTTAAGGATAGTTTAGTTACACTGATAAAAAAAAATGCTTAGTAGTTACATGTACAAGTACATATTTCATACTCCGTGTAAATATAGCACGCTTTGAATTTAATTTACTGCGTTTTTCATTTATTTTTAATATGAAAAAAATTATCTTGTCTACATGACCATGTACATTCATATAAATAAGAAAGGAAACAAACTTCGGCAAGCCGAATCTCATATACCCTTGCAGCTATTAAATATTCTTGAAGATATTAAAATTATAATTTAATTGCGTGTCTGTTTAAAAGCATTGAGGCTATGATGATTTGCAGCTCAATTATTTGAGTTTCTATGGCAGCTATATGATTTTAATAAAATTATAAGCGTAATTCTGAACTGGCAAATAATTAAATAATCAAAAAGAATTCCTAAAAGAAATTACAATTTAAAATAGTTAAATTTTTAAAATTGTAATATTTTTATTGTTCCCATGGGAGCTTTATGTTATAGTCGTCCGATTTTGATGAAATTTAAACCGTAATTCTGAAATATTTAATCATTACTATATGACGAAGAAATAAAAAAAAATTTATTAATCAATTAATTAATTAATTTGACCTATAGTAAAGTAATGGTTAAATATTTCAGAATTACGGTTTAAATTTCATCAAAATTTTATTTCGATTGTTCCTATGGGAGCGATATGCTATAGTCTTCCGATCCGGCTCGTTCCGACTTATAACTACCTGCAATCGTCTCCTTCACTTCATTGCAAACTTCTGACTGAATTTATAATACCCACTTCAAGGATATAATAACTTAACTTGCTGCTTTCGCTGATGATCTCATTAATGTTGATACAAATGTAAATGATTAAAAGTCAAGTATACATATTCTACAGCGCAAATTGACCTTATCTAATAACCTGCAAAAAAAACGCAACTAGATTTGTGTGACGAGTCACCCCAAAGATATCTTCTGATTATTTTGTTCAACTACTTTTGCGGCTGTATGACAATACAATACAATAAATATACTTAAATATACTTAAATATACTTAAATATACTTAAATATACTTAAATATACTTAAATATACTTAAATATATTTAAATATACTTAAATATACTTAAATATACTTAAATATACTTAAATATACTTAAATATACTTAAATATACTTAAATATACTTAAATATACTTAAATATACTTAAATATACTTAAATATACTTAAATATACTTAAATATACTTAAATATACTTAAATATACTTAAATATACTTAAATATACTTAAATATACTTAAATATACTTAAATATACTTAAATATACTTAAATATACTTAAATATACTTAAATATACTTAAATATACTTAAATATACTTAAATATACTTAAATATACTTAAATATACTTAAATATACTTAAATATACTTAAATATACTTAAATATACTTAAATATATTTATACAGTCACTAACAGTTGGTTAAGCTATCTTAGCCTACCACAATCCGAAAGACTCTTACGGCGAATTATTAGTTACAAATTTAAGGCGGTAGTACACTTTAGAAATTAAAATAAAACTTATTTTGTTTTTGGGTTTAAAAAAAATGGATGTTTGGTGCGCTTAATCAGATCTCGACGAAAAAGTATCCCTTAAAAAGGACATTTCAATCGATTGATTGATCGTTATTTACCCCTTAACAAAATTCGCAAAAAACAAATATATTTTTCGCCTATCTTTACACAATGAGTGTACTACGAATAAATATTTTGTCTCACTATCAATACCACCCGAGCACCGATTTTACGCCAGATTGAAAGTCATTATAGTGAATATGTGTACCTGATAGCGGCGCAATTTGCTAGGCGCCTGTGGCCTCCGCTGGGCACTGCTCCTCTGGGTGGGTGGCGGCAGGATGCCCTCCTTGACGTCCACGCGGTAGACCTCCTCCAGCGGAATGCCGTCGATGGTGACCGCCAGGCAGTAGGCGCCCACCGAACTGGGCGTCCACTGGACACTGAAGGTGCCGTCCTCCATGTCCTTGGCGTTGAGGAGCTCCGTGATGCGCGTCTGCACCGGACTGGCGTAGCGCAGCTCCTCGAACGAGTAGTTGGTGAAGGGCTTCATGAAGGTGATGGCCTTGAAGACCATCTTCTCCTTGGAGGTGGGCTCATAGTTGAGTCGCGGCGGCGGGGCCATTCCGCCCCAGCCCCAAGTGTCGCCGGAGGCACGGCGCATCCACAGGTTCGGACCTGATGCCGTTGCCCCTACTGCTGAAGCTCCCGTTCCAGTTGTCCCAGCTCCATTCGGACCCGAGCCCGTGGGTATCGCCTTGATCTCCACCTTGAGCTCCGGCACCAGGACCGCATCGCCATACTGATCCCGAATGGTGACCGTCACCTGGGAGGGCCAACCGTAGCGCAGTGGCTCCGTGATTGTGTTCAACTCACATCTGCAAGAAAGTGGGTGGAATTGAAGGAATTTATATTATATAATAATGTCGCCACGCCGAAGTTTATATACCCTTGCAGCTTTTACATAAATGAATATTCTTTTTAAACGCATATATTTCGGTTTTTATGTGTATATGTTTAAAATTAATAAAGTTATCATGTTCAGGTTTTTTTTTTCAATCGTTGTCCGATTTCGACAAGGGTATAGTAGTTAATTTTGAATTGAGGCTTACTTATTGGGATCCAGGCGTGACTCCGGTTGCAACCAGGCCGCCAAACGGGCGCCCGACGATCCTGGCGCCCCACTGATAAAGTCCTTAAGGAACTGCCGCTCATTAGACTGGGATCTGAAAAGGATGAATCGAATGAAATTTGATTAGGACTGATACAAATAATGTCCAATAAGGAAGAATCGAATGAAGTAGAATCATAACTAATACAGATGTTGTCTTTTTCCAAATAAAAACATATTTGTACATATTATTCGTGTTTTTCGGTTATGGCCACGGCTTTTTTTATAAAATGGCCTATAAAACTGTATTCTATATTATTATTATTCAAAGTTCATACTTGTGCCATAAACTTAGTAGAATTCTATTAAAATCATATAAATGATTATTTTGTATGATGAATAGAAGAAATGAAACAAACTTCGGCTAGCCGAAGATTATATACCCTTGCAGCTATTGCAAAAACGAAAGATTCTTGAAAACAATAAAATATTGATTTATTTGCGTATATGTTTAAAAACATTGAAGCTATAATGTTTTGCAGCTTAATTATTTAATAGTTCCTATGGTAGCTATATGATAGCGTTTTCCGATTTTAATAAAATTAAAAGTGTAGTTCTGAACTGTCAAATTATTAATAAGACAAAAATAATTTTTTAAAATTACAAAGTAGAAAAGTTACACTTAAGTAAAACAAATTTGTATATAGTTTTATTGTTTCCATGGGAGCTTTATGATATAGCCGTCCGATTTTTATGAAATTGAAACCGTAATTCTGAAATAATCAACCATTACTATATGTCGAAGAACTAAAAAAACATTCAAAAACAGCAAAGTTATATTTTTTTTATTTATTTTTCCGATTGTTCCTATGGGAGCTATATGCTATAGTCGTCCGATCCGGCTCGTTCCGACTAATGTACTACCAGCAATAGAAAAACAACTTTTGGGAAAGTTTCATGCAGATAGTTTAAAAACTGAGAGGCTAGTTTGCGTAGAAACGGACGGGCAGACGGACATGGAAAGACTCCCCTGGTGATGCTGTTCAAGAATATATATGTCTCCTTCGCTGCGTTGCAATTTTCTGACTGAAACAATAAAACCCTCTGCAAGGGTATAAAATAATAAAATAATAAGCCTGTTAAAAGCCATATTAAAGCTACTTTTATAATGGAAAGAAATGGCGAGTAAGACATATGTATTCCCAAAATTGTTCTACAAGCGGAATAGCTTATCACGTAGAACACCTAAATCCATGCCATTCCATTACGTTTCGTCCACTTTCGTGCCATTTTCTTGCATATCAATACATTTCGTGCCCTTCCTAATAATATCATAATTGGAGTTTATAATAACACAAAAGTACAACACATTTTAACATGTTCTTAGTTCATAAGTTGGGATAGTATGGATTTATTTGATGTATCTTAATTTATTTCTACTTGGGCCACGAAAATACATATGTATGTATCAATTAGACCCGCAAACCAACACAATTATTAATACAATCATTTAAAACCATTCAATACAATTGTTTTTTGAAGGGAATACAAATCCTTTTAACGGAAAGAGATGTTCACAAACTAATGGTGTTGTAATATTGAATGTAATGCCAGTCAGAATTTCTCTTCGAAATTTGAAACCTGGTGGGGGGTTAATGTTCGATGTGATCAGGTAAAATCGCAGGGCACTTAAATCCATTTCGTTCCAATCAGAGGCACAGCATCATCGAAATCAAAGATGGACCGTCCGGCGGAAGGAGAGTGGCACGTAGAAGACAGATCTCTCCTTTTTGGAAGTGGAAATACTTACGAACACACAGACATACATTTATAGGTAGACTGGAAAGAGGGTCAAAGGGCACGTAGCGGCGCAGCGGGCGGTGCACGTGTGTGCGTGTGTGCGTGAATGGAGGGACTCACGGCCACGGGGACAAAGGGACAGGCACGCACATGCAGCGACGTGTGAGAAAAAAAAAGGTCGTCATCGTACCCAATACAACAACTTTGGTTTATATTACGAATTAAAATTATGAAAAGTGTGGCAAACCTGTCTCCGTTATCTAAGTACGGTCATTGTTTTTTTTTTTTTTTTTTTTTTTTAAAGGAGCCGCGTTGTCTTTCTTTGGAGATGAGTAAATTCATTTTTACAAGCTTATAAAATAACTACATATTTAGATAGCAGTATGAGTTATGTACATAAATGTCTCTAAAGCAAATACATATGCACATGCGAAATCATGTGTGTGTAATTACAAGTTAACTTAAGTTAACTTAAAGCTTATAAGCTAGAAGTTTTCTGTGGTATATTTACAAGTACACCGTAACTATCTACAGTGACGAACTTAATTATTGGCACAGTTGGCATATCTGACTTCAACATTGCTTTTCTCCACTAAAAACGAAGATATGTATAAATTGAAAACAAAATTTTATCAAAATGAGCGGCAACAAAAGGAAACCACTGAATCTAAACGGTAAATAATAATTCTATATTTGCATAATCAAGGCAAATCATATGCTGAGATTGGGAAAATGATGGATAGAAGCCGTTTTACCATTCGAAGCATTGTCCAGCGTTTTAAAGGAGCCTCATCGTTGGAGAGTGCTAAGCTTTGACTGACGAGGAACGGGCCAGGATCATCAGGAAGGTGAAGGTTAACCCCAAAAATCTCTTCAACAAAGATTGCAGCTGAAGTTTAAAATTAATTTGGAAAAGATATTCACCCTATTACGGTTCGGAGGACACTGCACGAAGCTAACTAAAAAAGCCGCGTTGCAAGAAGAAAACCACTAATTTCCAAAGTCAACCAGCAGATGCGTTTAGCCTTTGCAAATAAACATTTGAGTAAGCCAACAGACTTTTGGAACAATGTCATCTTCTCCGATGAAAGTTAATTCAAAATTTTTTTAAAATTTGATGGCCACCAAACTGTTTGGAGAAAGCCCAATACGGAACTCCGTAAAGAGAACGTTGCTATGTCTTTGAAACATGATGGTGGACCCGTCATGGTGTGGCGCTGCATGTCCGCCGCGGGTGTCGGCGAACTTGAATTTATTGAAGGAATTATTGGCACTGGTGGAGGAGTGGCACAATATTGGTTCAGAAACTACCCAAAACTTAGTTTCTTCGATTCCCAGGCGCTTGAAGGCAGTCATTAAGCATAAGGGCTTAGACACAAAATATTAATTTTTATTTTTAAACGATTCTTTATGTTTATTTTTATCATTTTCGGTTAAGTGTGCCAATAATTTTGTTCAAAGAAAATCAGATGTTTTTTTATAATTTTAATTTTTATAATTACTATAACAGTGATAGTAAAGTTGGTTTTGTTGTAAGTTTATCAATATATATGAATAAATTTAGTTTCGATTAATTATCTTAGTTTTTAGTGGAGAAAAGCTATGTTTAAGTCATACATGTCAACTGTGCCAATAATTAAGTTCGTCACTGTAGATTATCACGCGGAACACACTCTTGATAGCATTTTCGAGCAAACTGAGTAATAGATAACGGTCAACAGATTTCTTTCGAGACAATTTTACCACTTTTGGCAATGTTGGGGGGAGGCTTATAACGGTCACATTAGAGGGAGTTACCTATGAGGAGGGGTATAAAACCGAAACACACACAAAGCTGCGTACACACACATTTTATTTACATAAAAAGCAAATAAAACAATATCGAACAAATAAATACAAACGAAATAGAAATGGAAATGGAAATGGAAATTGGGGGATGTGGATGGGGAAAAGTGGAGTTTTCCAACGAAAATTATAATGTCGGTCGGGGGAAGAGGGAATTTTCAGTACTCCACCTCATGGAGGCCTGCACTTCACCACGAAAACAAAAACAAAACAAAACCGACGAAAAGGCAGAGAGAGAGAGGGAGAGAAAAAAGGGGGGCAAAAACAATAACAACGAAGGGCAGCAGCCAACTGTGTCCACATTTGTCTGTGTCTGTGCGTGTGTGTGTGTGTGTGTGATCGTGTGTGTGTGTGTGTGTGTGTGATCGTGCGTAAGTGTGCGTGAGCTACCTGTGGGAAACACGTTTCCACTGCAATTTAACCCCGTTACCCCCCGGAATACTAATACACCCCCCTCCCCTTTCTAACTCCCTCCTACACTAAGAATTTTATTTTACCTTTTTCACATTTAGAAAGTTTACACTTTTCGATAGATTTTTATCTGAATACCTGTGACTGCCAGAAAATTAGTCTAAGTAATGGGATAAGCTTATATGTAGTTAATAATAAAGAGCATCATTTTGTTTGTTTGACGTTCATAAAGCATAACCTGAGTAACTATGAAAAACAGAAAACTGATTTTCCAAATGTTTATTTGTAAGTGGTAAGTAACTAGGATTTAACCATATTTTTTCACAATTGGTAAACTTCTTCGTTTTGTATAAGCATCATTTTATAATTCCCAAGTGTTTATTGTCAGCACTTGCTTATAATTGACTACTTAAAATCTGTGATTTATCTCCAGAAGAAAACTAAAAATAAATCATAAATTTAATAAGAAACTGAGCAAATTATTTGATTACACTTAAATCAACTTAATCTTCCTTTAGGTACGTTTTAAAATACAAAATTCAGCCTAAAACCTACTTTAAATTTACAAAAAAAAACAAGAAAACAGCCGTACCACTGAGTTCTTTTGGTACCACTTTTGGCTGAGTGTATTCTCGCAAACAAATGGTAATGGGGCGCAGAGAAACAAGTTGCAGGGTCCCAACTGGAGTTGCACTGGTAGAAAGAGAGGGCGCGAAGGGGGGAGTGAGAGAGAGGGGAACGGGGGACGTCTGTGTGTGCTCCCTATTGCGGCAATGTAATCGTTCATTCATTCATTCAATTCAGTTTTTATCGTGCCACAAAATGCGGAAGAGTTGTCATGTCCAAAGGGGCAAACAAAACAAAATAAAAGAGGGAGGCGGATAGATAGATAGAAAGAACGAAAAAGAGAGACAAAAGCAAACAAAGAATATGACATTCGTCAAGTTCTTTATCGCTCACTCAACTCTAGGGAAAAGTCAAACCATTTATAAACTTAAATGTGATCATTAAGAAAAATTAAGTAATAATTTAATAATATTTATTACACCGGTACTGATC